TTATTGCCAAGAGCCCCGCGGCCGCCACATGTCAGACGAGCTTATCAGTGTAGCTAGCGTCGCTTGTGTCGCTTGTATGCGCGCGCGTATCTCCCACTCGCGCTTGATTTGGTGCTGTGCGCAATCTGCTCAATTTCGCCTGTCATTGCACGATGCATCCACCCGTGCCTTGTAGCCCGCCTTGACAAGACGCATGTCACTTGCCTTGGTGAAGCCTACCAACAAAGTGCCATTCACCATTGGTAAGGCGGGTGTTCAAGGGGAAGGTTGGAATGGGAGATGAGAGCTGAAGGGAATTCTGCCATGTCACCGGGGCCAGAGCAGGCAGTGGGCCTTGGAGGAGAGCACCAGAGCAAGCCTCCCCATGGTTGTAGTGGCCAAAGGGGAACAACAGTACAGAGGCTGCTGCACATGTCATTGATGTCACGGTGTGGCTTTCATGGCAGTAGTGTCAACACCATGCTGATTGATGGCAACAGAGCCCTGAATGCCCCAATGGAAGCCAGCGCATGGACCGGTATTTTGCAAGTATGGGTCGCCTGCCACTTGCTGGTATTTACGTGCATGATGAGGGAACGTGTAGTGAAGCTAGTGCTTGATATGCGCTTCATGAGCTCGATGATGCAAGGTTGGAAGAGAAAGGATTGCCACGCCTCAAAGTTTTCCGCGAAGCTGACGTTGTAGTACAGTACATTGCATACTGGCCATCCTCATTCCTGACATGTGCCTGGTTGATGAAATAGCGGTTGGGGAGCTCAGCACTGCATTGGCACTGCTGTCACGATTGGTCTTGGTCTTGTGCCAGACAGTGGAGGCAAAGTGAATGTCAAGGCGATCAACCAAGTGGGTGATTAGATTATTCCCTCCTCTCTGCACTCGCTTTGCTGTCCAGGATCTCGCTGGCTCGCTGAAGTAGTCCACCACTGCGGTTCTTCTCAATGGCCGCATCGAGGCGAGCTAGCGCCTGTTCGCTGACATCCCCTGTCGATCGCTTGTACTTGTAGGGACGCAGTCTCTCGCTGTGTTCCTCGGCATCGACGGCGCGCTTCAGCGAGACGTAGGTGAGGGCCGCTTCGGCTGCCTCGCCCGCGGTCTGCCTTGTTGCTCCCTGGCCAGTGCTGGTGCGATGTGACAGGCCTCCGCGCGCCAGACCACCGTTCAGGGCCGTCGGGAGCAGAAATGGCCCGTCGGCGTACCACGGCTCGAAGCAGAGGTCGGGACACGCGGCAGCCAGCTCGTCAAAGTACGGCTGCAGCGTCTTGCGCATCTGGTGCGAGTTGCCGCCGAGGTGGTGCAGGCAGAGCACCCTGACGACGCGCTTCGTGCCATTGTCGCGCGTCATGTCAGCCGGCACTACCTAAGAAGGAGCCTCCGATGCTGGACTGGACAGTCATGCGGTGTTGGGAGGAGTGAGTCCAGGTCAAGCTAGTCATGCATGAAGTGATGTTTGATTCTCGCAACTATCCTGCAGTGCACGCTAGTAGTAGTAGTAGTACAGTAGTAGTAGCGTATTCGAAGAAAGACAGCTTAAAGTTCGCACAGACCAGGGAATCTCTGCATTCTGGCGCGCAACTAGGCTTGCGCGACGACGGCGGGCGTCTTGGCCCGGGGAAAGCGCTCGACGTCCGTCGTGGTCACCGTGGTGACCGTGGTGCGCGTCGTGGTGCCGCCGCCGCCGCTCGCATTCTCTTTGTCGGCCTCTTCTTCATTGTCGTCGCCAGCCTCTTCCTCCTGGTGCGTAAACATGTGCTGGGTCTGGCCCTTGCCCGTGTGCAGCGGCACCGCCCCGCGGTCCAAATTTGCCGCTTGGCGCGTCTGCAGCGCCGTCTGCGGCCTCTGTCCTGTGCTGGATGTGACGGGCTGGTCACCGGACTCGGCGTCGGCCACCTTGGCGTGCGCATCGTTGCCCACGGTCGCGTTGCGCCCGCTCGCCGCGCTCGTGCTCGCACTGGCTGCCGCACCAGGCACAGCCACCGCGACGCCCGTCGTCGAAACGGCATTCTGCCCACGGCTCTGGGCAACCATGAATGCGAGGCGCTCCTCGCGCTGCGCCACCTTTTCGCGCTCGTACGCGTCCATCGCTGCCGATCCACAGCTGCTGCTGTTTGGCCGGCCGGTGAGGCTGACTTTGAAGAGCGAGAGGCAGGCCTTGATGTTGACGCCGTTGCCCGAGCCTGTGCTTGCACCCGTGCTCGGCGTGCTTGCTGCCTTGGACGACGTGGCTGCGGTGGCTGCTGTGCCTGCCGTGCCTGCCGTGCCTGCCGTGCCTGCCGTGCCTGCCGTGCCTGCCGTGCCTGCCGTGTCTGACGTGCCCGAGGTGCCGCTGCTGCTGCTGCACGACGGCGCCGTGGGCTCGATGAAGGAAAAGGTGGGGCCGTGCGAGGCTGTCGCGGCCGCTGCCGACTGTCGCATTCGCAGTGTCATTAGCATCCTGCTCTCGAGACGCGCTTGCGATCAGCTCACCCTCGGTCCAATGGCGACAGCGGTGCCTGTGCCTGCGTTGCTGGTCGACGTGCTTGTGACCTGCGTCGACGAGTCCGAGCTGCCCGTGCCCGTGCCCGTGCCCGTCGCGTCTCCACTCGACGCGCCGTTGTTGGCATCGACATTCACGTCCACGTTGCTGTCCGTGTTCCTGTCCTCGTTCTCGTCCTCGTTTTCGTCGCGGTTTGTGTTTGTGGTGCTGGCGCCCGCGCTCGGCTTGCTGAGCGAGCGGACGCGGGAGAGCAGGCTCGTCTTGCGCACTCTCTTTGGCTGCAGTTGCACCGCGTGCGCCGCGCCAGCGTCCTGCTTCTCCTCGTGCCTCTCCGGGGTGACTCTGTCGCTTCTTGCTGGTGCGCTGTGCGAGACAGTCTTTGGCTTGCTCTGGGCGGTCGCGGCGGCGGCGGCGGGAAAGGCCATCGCAGCGGGCAGGCTGGCCTCGTTGGCGTCCCATCGGCGCGGCAGGACAGAGAAGGGCGCGAGCCAGGTCGCAGACACGACGACGCCCTTGCAGTCGCCGCCCGTGGACAGCGCGACGTAGTGCGCGACGCTCGACGCCAGCACGCGGCACAGCGAGCGCACTAGTGCTGCCGGCCCCGAGACGAGCGATGCACTGCGCAGCGACTGGGCCAGCTGCGTCGCCAGGGCTGCGCTCGAGGTCGCGGCGGCCTGGGCCTGGAGCAGCAGCAGCAGCCGGCGCGGCAGGAATACGCTGAAGCCGTGCCAGGTGGACACGAGGTGCAGGAGCGTATCGCCCGTCGGCCAGTGCCGCAGCGTGCGCGTCGGCTCAGAGTTCTTGTCAGCAGCAGTAGCAGCGGGCAGCAGCACCACCTCGTCCCAGGCTGCATTCAGCGAGGCGACGTGGCCGGACACGACGTCGAGGCTGATGGCTTGGCTCTCCTGCGCGCTCTCCTCAGACATCGGCGGCGAGGCCATGTGGGCCAGCTCGGACCAGACAGAGCTCTGGCCAGGCCCACCGTTCATGGCGGCGGCATCGGCCAGGATCGCGTACAGCTCGACGAGCGCGATCGGGGCCGGCGCCGAGGTGGGCGCCAGCGCGTGGCGGATCGCCTTTGCGACGAGGTACGCCTCGGGCATGGCACTGCAGTTCTTTGTGAGATGGGCACTTGTCTCAGAGACGACTTCCATTGCACCGTCCTCTCCTTATAGATAGATGGCTTAGACTGCCTCCACGGATCTGGGACAAGAACAACACGGAAGCAGGCAGACCCTTTAATTAAAGCCCCTGAATGCGAGATCTGGTGCCGTGGAACGCGGCAAAACAAAAAGAATGAATCAATGCCTTTCCGGCCGGCTGAAAAAGTCCAAAAAGAAAGAAGGCTTGGCTTCTTCTTCTTCTGGCCTGCAGAGAAAAGATAACCCTCTATTATTTGGCATCGAAGGGAGCTGACCATTCTTAGCCACAAGCACACGTTCCTCGGTGCGCCTGGGCCCCATCGATCGCGCTCTCCCTCGCTCTGTTCCGCTCCTTCTTCCTCCTCTCCTCCTCTCCTCCTCTCCTCCTCTCACTTTTTCACACGCTCTCGCCGTCTCGTCCGTCGAGCATGATTGGTCTCAGCGCAATCACATTTGAAGGCAGACCTATCTCATTACAGTGAGAGCTAGGGCGATAAAGCGCTTATTTGGACTACGATCCTCCCGCCGGTGCTGCTATGGCTTCGATGAGAAATGTCGCTGCTCCTGCGCTGCGGGACAGGAACGCTCACGGCTGCTCAGCTGAACTTGAAGAGATCCTTGAAGATCAGCTGGCCCCAGCTGTTACCGCGCGCCTGCACCAGCAGACCGCCCTCTGAGAGCCCGCCAAGCTTGATTGGCGCGAAGCCCAGAGTCTCGGCAAGCGCACCGACCTCGGCTGCTGCGGCGTCATCGTCGCTCGCCAAAAACACGACTCGCCTGCCACCGTGCACGGCCGGATCCTGGCCAAGGGCAGCTGCGGGGAGATGGTTGAAGCCCTTGACCAATTTACCGCCAGCGAAGGCCTGCGAGACAACCCTGGCGGAAGGCTGCCCTCCCAGTGTCTCGGCGGCCACGCCGTAGGCATTCGTCGTGTCGATGATGGTCTTTCCCTGCCAGGAGGGCAGCGCCTTTGCGACGTCCGGGTGCGACTCGAAGCGGACTGCCAAGAAGATGATATCTGCCTTGGCGGCGTCTGCCAGCTTTGCGGGTCGAACCGTCGGTCCAATCGCAGCTGCAGCGGACGCAAACGCCTCCGGGTCGCGCGTGGTCGCCACAGACACTTGGATGCCCTTGCGCGCAAAGGCGTTGGCCAGCGCCTGGCCGATCTTGCCGAAGCCGATGATTGAGTAGCTCATGCTCTTTTTCTTGTCGGTGCGACTGTACCGAAGACGGAAGCAAGGAGTGGGAATGGGCTGCAGGCCAATGAGCTGTCCTGCTCGAGACTTATAGCCCCCTGCCCTGCCTACTAGGCGCAGCGCAGAGTGGCGCGAGGCGGGGATAGCGTTCTTCTCGCGACTAAATCCGAATGCGCGACGCCCAAAAACTGCGCAAACAGCGCCAGTAGCGCCATTCGTCACGTCACATCCAGCCTGCTGACAGCCCGTGCATCAACAAGGCAAAGTAGCAAAGAAGCATCAAGCAGAGTCAGCCTCTTCTGTAGCCTGACATTGATCCGCGGGTCAGCGAGGTAGACGACGTGATCTGACTCGCCTCGAGACCGGATTTAGCCTGATCGCCATACGACTGCTCACTCCGTTGGGAAATAGTCTGTTTTCACGCGTTTCCTTTCGAGATGAAATTACTATCTCGCGGGTACGGCATGGCCGAAGACGCCTCTGGGAGTGTTTCAAGCATCGAGGATGGTGCGCGCGACAGAATGCCCGAGCGTGATGGGCTTCAAGCCGTAGTACTGCTTCAACAGCTCCTTGAAACGTCCGTTGGGCGCCACGATGTCGCTGTGCCCGAGAGCCGTGCTGTAGTCGGGCAGCCTGTGATGGGGCTGCACCGCATGAATGGCATCTGCGATATCGGCCACGGAAAAGGTCCCCGTCATGGCAAAGATGCGCTCGTTCTTGACTTCCTCGCCGACGAGGGCGATGACGTGGGCCTTGGCGACGTCGAGAACGTCGACAAACATCGACGGTGGCGTGGTGAACTTGTAGAATTCCGTTTCCTCGCTGTAGTTGCCATTGTAGAACTCGTTGAGGAAAGTGTTGGTCGTGTAAACGCCCGCACGAGGGTTCACCACCTTGCCCATGACATAGTCGGGGAGGACAGCATTGAAGGTGTAGCCGGGCTTTGCGTCCTGGTACCACTTCCAGGCCGCTTTCTCCGCTTCGACTTTGCTGGATGCGTAGACGAGGATGGCCTTCATGGGGTGATCCGAAGGGACGGCTTGGGCCATTGGTGCCACTTCGTTGAGCCAGGAGTCCTCCGTCGCTCTGATTGGTTCGCCGGCGTAGTTGAAGGCGGCCACGCGAGAGGAGGTGTATACAAAACTCTTGACGCTGCTCTCCTTGGCAGCCACTTTCATCAGACCGACCGCTGCGGCAACGGCAAATCTCACAACCTCGTCAAAGTCCGTGCCCCAAGAAGAGTCATTTGCGGTATGGATGACTCCGGCGACACCTTGCGCCGAAGAAGCTCGTTCAGCTTTCCGGGGTAGAGCGCTTGGAGAGGCAAAGAATAGCAGGCTCACCCTGGACTGCCGCGGCCATTGCCGCCGTGTCGCGGTAATCTCTGATCTGAACGACCTGGAAACGGTCCTTGCCGTACGTCCGGTCGAACTTGGCCTGGAGCTCCTGGAACCGGCTGGGATCGCGACCGGCGCCTCGCACTTTGTAGCCAGCTTCCAGCAGCTCCTGCGCAATCGAAGAGCCGACGAAGCCAGAGGCCCCGGTCAGTAGGATGGTAGAGCCTTGAGGGACACGACTTGATGCTAGCATTTTCTTTAATGTGTGCGTCTGGACTGTGGTGAAGAGTCAGGCAGAGGAGGCGATTAAAAGCGATATTCGCCAGGAATCACGAGCTTATTTATACGCCCTGTGGCGCTCAGGGCGTCCTGCATGAGCCATGCTGATTCACCACATTCAAGGCACTATGCACCACCTTCGTCCAGTCCGTGTGAGAGTACGTCTGCCGAGTGCGAGTACGTCTCGGCAGAGAGGGCATGTGCAGATGAAGCCTCGTCGATATTCCCGGAGGCGCGATGAAAAATTCCCGAAGCCCCGTTCAAAGTTGGACAGCGGAAACGTGAGCAGCCCCCCAACCGCTGGAGAAAGGCTTCTCTCGGTCGGTACTTCCGTCGGTGGGCTGAATGCACTTCTCCTGAGCGAGCAGGTGACCGTATGTTGTGGAACTTTCGAAGTTTAGCTCAGACCGAAAGTCGTCTGGCCTGATTCGACGAGAAGGCAGGCTGCAACACCGCTCTAGTACTGTGTTGGCCAGGTGCACTAGAGATACGGCCGAAGCGAAAAGCGCGAGAGCTCGGCTCCATGGCCGTTCCCGTCGTGCGAAGGAGAGCTGGACGCAAGGCCGCCAGACAGAGACTTAAGAAAGACGCTCGCTTCGGGGCACGAGAGAAACCCAGCAAGCGTTGCAGGTAGCAAGACTAGACCAAGCGACGATCAGCATGATGAGCGACGTGGCCCATACAACCGGGGACGAGGTGGTCCCGCCTCTCAGCTCGGCAAAGGACAACAACACGACAGTCAAAGAGCACGAGCTGTTTCGGGGCAAGTGGCAGCTGTATACGTTCGTGGGAGCTATCTTGCTCGGCCAGGGAGTCAACATGATGCCGTTTGGAGCGGTGAGTGGCCCGGCGTCTTCCAGGATGGTCTAAATGTCTGATTTGCGCTTCGGCTTCCTTTCTTCCCCTGCAGACACTATCGTCTCAACTCATCATCGCCAGGGAGCTCGGGGTGGCAGACGATGCTGGGCAAATCACCTGGATAGTCGCTGCCTTTTCCATGACCGCAGCTTTCTTTGTCCTCATTGGCGGCCGGCTGAGCGACATTTATGGGCCACGCATCATATGGCAGGCATCGATGGCGTGGATGATGGTCTGGAATCTGGTGACGAGCTTTGCAAGGAGGTCAGTGCTGCAAGTTTTTCGTGACTCGGTGGGACCTCGAGATCTGACGCGCGGGGGCTCTGGCAGCCCTCCCTTTTTCGATGCTTGCCGCGGACTGGCGGGAATAAGCTCAGGAATGCTGCTTCCGGCAGGGATCGGCCTTCTTGCCCGTTGTTATCCACCAGGTGTCGGCCGTGCGGTTGTGTTTGGCCTTTTTGGTGAGAGTCTTGCGTCTGCAGCCACTAGTTTTCCTCTTTGAGCTGACAAGGAGGAAATTTCAGGCGCGCTCGCGCCATTCAGTGCCGCCGGCGGGTCGATTTTCGAGACGCTCTTAGCTCAATTAGTGTCCTCGGCCTGGATCTGGAGGCTTCTGTGAGTCACCTGCGAATTATTATCTCTAGCAAAGAGGAGGCAGGAAACTCACATCGCTTCACCATCGACCACAGGGCCTTCAAATGTGCTCTGACACTGCTTTTGGGGATTCTTGCCATGCCGCTTTCGATTGGCCAGGGTGGCGGAGGCTCTCTCGATGTCGTTGGCGCATTCTTGGGGGCAGCAGGTCTTCTCCTCTTTAATTTTGCTTTCAGGTGGGAGACGAGCTGTTCGGCTGCTACTGCTGTTCTTCTCTCAAGACATGGTCCCTATTGCAGCCAGTCCACCGTGGACGACTGGGGAGCCGCTAGCATCTCGACTTTGGTAGTCGGCCTTGCTCTCCTGTTCGCTTTCGCTCTGTGGGAGAGCTTCGTTGCAAAGGAACCGATTCTCCCCTTTGACATCTGGAAGGCGCCAACCTTTGGCTGGGTGCTCCTGTCGGCCTTTCTCGGCTTCATGACCTTTGGCGTATGGGTCATCTGTGAGTCGCGAGGCTGCTCTCGGTCAGAGTCGAACGCTGATTGTATGCACTCCAGACGCGTCGCAGTTTTTCTTGCAGATTCGGCACCTGAGTCCGCTCCTGACTCAGGCGTACTGGACACCGTTCACCCTGGGCGCCTTCTTTGCTGCTCTGCTGGGTGCTTTCCTGGTCCGGACCGTCCCCGCACAGGTCATTTTCCTGGTGCGTGCGCATTCTGTCTAGCTTTGATTTACGGCTGATCGCCCGCCGTACCCAGGCCGGCCTCGTTTCTTTGTGTCTGAGCAACATTCTGATGGCGACTGCGCCCGAACGAGGCATCTACTGGACCTATCCGTTCTTTTCAACGCTCTTTGCTGCGCTCGGGCCAGACTTTATCTTTACCGCCACACAGCTAATCGCTTCCAACACCGTCAAGGCGTCTCAGCAAGGCGTGGCGGGCTCTCTGGTCGGAACGGTGCTGAATGTGGGACTGGCTCTGGGCGCTGGGCTGGGCGCTAACGTCGAGCTGCACGTGAATGCTGGTGGGACTCGGCCATTCGATGGGAAAAGAGGGGCCTTCTACCTCGCAATCGGCCTAGCAGTCACCGGCATGATGATTGTCGTTGCTTTCGTCCGTCTACCGAAAGACGGAAGAGTAGGATACGAGAAGAGCGACGAGGAAAAGCAAACAGCCACTCCTGGCGAGGAAGAGAGAGTGTAAAACATGCCGATTCTCATTCTGACTTGCGCGTTCGCAAGAGCCGGTCCTTTTTTCAGACTGAATCCTAAGAAAGAAACATAAGCACAGCGGTCCGTGCCTGGATGGGCAAAAAGTTGAGCTCGTTACACAAGCTACTTCTTTACTTTGCCCGAATCCTCGAGACAGAAATGTCATAATTCTTCGAAATAAAGCCGCAGAAAAAAAAAAAAGCGCTCCTCTATTTGGGTAAAGCCGCGGAGCCAAGTACTCCAAACACGCTTGGTGGACGACGGATGTCCTCAATCACTTGGCGGTGTTCCTTGGCTCTGCCATAGTCTGGAGGGCTCCTTGGTGCTACGTCCGATCCGCAATGTATGCACTTTGTCCGCGGCTCTATTGTCGGCCGTAGGGCTTTGGCCGGTCTTGCTGCTGAACTCTTCCCTTCTAAAAGCTGCTCTCTACGCCTGTTTGAGACACTCTGCACAGCGAGCTGCCCAAGAAAGCTTTTTACGCGAGCAATGAGCGAGCAGGACATCAAGGAGCTCACAGCCTTGAATCTGGCGTATCTTCACTCCGACGAATATAGCGATGTGGCTCGGTACGAGGAGATGCTCACCGAAGACTTCCACGCATCTCTGCCCGACTACAGCCTGCTGAATCGAAAGGAGTTTCTCGACATGATTGGCAAGCCACGGCCGTTTACGGAGCTGCAGTGCCAGGACGTTAAGATCCGCGTCCTGCCCGGTACCAAGTTTGCCCTGATCCACGCTCGCATGGCATATCGTACGAAAAGCGACGGCGTCGTTCGGCACGGTCGCTACACGGACGAATACCAAGAGAGAAACGGGAAGTGGATGTGTGTCGGCGGCAACGTGATTGCCGAAAAGCTCTAGAGCGGACGACGCTGCAAGCTCCGAAACCCAGCTGCCTGTTCTTTTACAACATGTTCCCTCTATGCCCTTTGTTCAAAATAATGCTTGAGTAGGCCAAGAGCAGCTTCTACTGCCACTATGAAACCTGGACTACAAAGCAATCAAGGGTCTACCCCAAAGCGATAAATGTCTCCCAAATCCCTCGCTTGAAGAGGGCGACATTTTCGCCGAAATCGTTCGTTGGTTGGACGCGGGTGAGCCCTTTCTAAAAACCTCTCTGACGGGTACCGACAAGCAGACGCTGGTGGCGGAGCTGAACGGGACCTGATTTGCATCCAGGAACAAGAGGAGAAGGCTGTATGAAGACAGAGAAGAGGCGCATCGATTGACGCGGGCCGGTACAGGAATGTAGGGAAGCCGCAAATAGCTACATTGTCCGGTCTTTTGCTTCGGCACCGAACAACGAAACAAGCGGAATGAAGTCGAAACGCCTGTGACGGCCATGCACAGCCCGATACAGATTATCCGTCCTCCACGATGTACAGTTCGGTATAGCTAGCACACCGCCGGTAGTATTGGTCACTGCCGCTATGCAGGTACGGATGCACCAGTGAGATTTCCTCACCGTCTTTCATGCGCGCAACTTTAAAAAAAAGCTGTGCTGCACGTACTTATGACCGAGATTGACTCGCCTTGGCCCGATACACCCGCGTAATTACGGAAGACCGAACAGATATCTCCATCATTTTCGGTTTTGGTCGGAAGCTGCTGCTGGTGCGTGACGTCTTTCTCTCCTCACGAGAAAAGCAGCGTGAGAGAATGCTTCTGAAGAAAGGAATCCACTCTCCTCTCCACGAAGAAACAAGCACAGCCACTTCGAGCTGTGGCTGTAATGCTCACTGCAAGTGGGGCAGAATGCCGCCGTCCAATGCCGATCCTATCTCCTCACTTCATTGAGGAGCATAATCCCCGGGTACCAAGCAATCTTCTTGAAAAGACATAAATAATGCCTCTTAACTCCCGTTGTCCGCTTTTCTTCTCTCATCGCCATCGGCACCTACCTCTCTTGTCTTCTGGCCACCTCTGAGCAGCACAGGCGTCTCTGCACAGACCTCGATCGAATTCGACTTTGCCTTCTGACTACTAACTCGTGCTGCGCGCAGGACTTGTCGACATGGCGCCTATCCCAATGCTGTCGTTCGCAAAGAGAGACACCTGTCAGGATCTAAACGGCATCGACTATACATGCGATGGCTTTGGCGTTGGCCCACGAATCGGCGTCGGTGAGTGTGTCGATCCAAAGCGTGAGGGAAGGGGTGGAAGGGCTGAGATAAATGGTTCATGCACAGGACTGGGAATCACTGTCGCGATTCTGCTTGTCATCGCGATCTGTTGCGGTGTTGGCTGGAAGAAGCGCCGGAGTCAAGAGCCAGCCCCGAAGATCACTGCTATCCAGCTGCCAGAGCAGCCATATGACGCGGGAAGAGTTCAAGAGGGTGGAGCCAGGGATGCTTCGTACCGCAAGCCAGCACCATCAGAAGATGGGTCCAGTAACCCTGCTGGCCCTAGCTCGGCGCCCTCTTCGCTCTACGAACAGCCGGCGCAGCCACCGCCCTCGTACCCGAAGCAACCGCCCTCGTATTCGAAGTAGTCGGACATGGCAGGCTACGGAGTGCAATACTGCAGTAGTCTTGGCAGATTACGCACAGTCACATGGATATCTTTTGCTTTTGCTGAAATAAATCATCCTGCTTCTTCGGGAAGAACGACGAGACCATATCTCTTCTCATTTACATCTCCAAAGATTCTCGCATGGCAGTTGATTTCCTTTTCGTGCTGTTCCCAGCTGTACCCGTTTCCCAGTCGTTCCACGAGGCGCTTCGCCACGCTAGGAGGGAATCCCAGCGAGACTTCATCCTCGCTTTCCTTCGTGGAATCAGCGAGGGCATTGCGTTCAAAGCGAGAGAAGTCGAAGCTCTTGGCCTGCTCTATGGCGCTCCGAACCTGCTCTTTGGGGAAGGCGACGGTAAGTGGTCGTGGCTTACCAGCTTGGACGGTCATCTTCGGGGTATCGGAGCTTGAAAGGCAACCGCCTCGAGGCCAGGATCCTTCTGTAGCAAAATTGCCTGATCGAAGACCGCGGCGATATACTGGCGACTTTCTGGAGGAGAGTCTGAATCTAGAAACCGACTATCGCGCTTATTCACATCGCCGCGGCCATCATCTTAGATCCTGATCTTTTCCTCCGTTTAGGGCCGCGGCCATGCGGTTGTTTTGGAGGGCATTGAGTCCGTTGTCCTGTCGCTATTGCGGCCGCAGCGGGCGCGAAGCTTTTCCGCTCACACGTGGGTAGCTCAGGACAGTGGGATGCATTTGCGGACAAGCGCGTTGGCCGTAGGCTGCTGTGCTGAAGCCTTTATTCGCGTGGCTCGTGTTCTTCTGGACAGTAGAGTTGCGCAGATAAGTTCTAGAAGCTGTCTGCCGATCTCTGCCCTGCTTCCTGCCCAGCAATCAAGAGCAGCACTGCGTAGACCGCCACCTGACGACACGGGGTTTGTGTGTTTCTGCCGATGGATCGTCCAGGCACGCTAGCAGGGCTGATTGGTGCGCAGACCAGTGCCATGCTGACCGACATGTTCCAAGCTCCTTCATCAAGTGATGACCCGCGGGCCTGTCAGCCAGCCAGCTGGACGAGATGCGGCGAGCTTCGCCATTGTGCGCAGCATAATCTCACGTTGGCGCGACCGGATTTTAGTGGTGGTTGTTGACGCGTCACACGTTGCGCGCCACTGGATGAATGGTCTAGACGCTAATCCCCGAGTCGCCACCGAGTCGCCACACGCTGCTAGCAGTGGCAAGACAGAAGCTATATAAGTATGGGTGCTCCGAATTCTTCGTCAGAGTAGTGCAATTGTAAGAAAGGACGCACAACATGAGCAGACTGAACGGTAAGACGGCCGTGATCACTGGCGGCGCCACTGGCATCGGGCTCGCCGCAGCCAAGCGCTTCATCGACGAGGGCGCCTTTGTCTTTCTCTTTGCCCGCCGGCAGGACAAGCTCGACGCTGCAGTGGCCGAGCTCGGGCCCAATGCCCGCGCAGTCAAGGGCTCCGTCTCGGATCTGGCCGACCTGGACCGGCTGTACGCGACGGTCAAGGCCGAGCGCGGCACCGTTGACATCGTCTTTGCCAATGCTGGGGCTGGAAGCCAGCTTGCGCTTGGCAAGATCACGCCCGAGCACATCGATGAAACCTTTGACACCAACATAAAGGGCTCGATCTTCACTGCCCAGAAGGCGCTGCCGCTCATGGGCAAGGGCGGCTCGATCATCCTGACTGGGTCGAGCGCCGGCACCACTGGCGCGCCGGCCATGAGCGCCTACAGTGCGAGCAAGGCGGGCGTGCGCAACCTCGCGAAGACCTGGGCCGAGGACCTCAAGGGCACCGGCATCCGTGTGAACGTGCTGTCGCCCGCGTCGACTTTGACGGACCTCGCCAAGGAAGCGCTCGGCGAGGAGGGCGTGAAGACGTTTGGAGCGATGAACCCGCTCCAGCGCATGGCGGATCCGGCCGAGATTGGAGCAGCGGCGGCCTTTCTCGCGTCGCCGGACAGCAGCTACATGACCGCTAGCGAGCTCGCCGTCGACGGCGGCCTTGCGCAGCTCTGACGTGCGACGTCCGGCCGGGTGCTACCATCGATCATTCGGAGCGCTGCAAGGCTCTGCTCCAGGAAAGACTTTCACTCTGTCCACAGCTACCGTACGAGAGCGGGAAAGGTCGATTTCTCAAAAAGCAAGGGCTAGAGCTCTTTCTTGCCCAGTCCAGACCTTTCCTATCAGCGAAAGGGACTAAATTTCTAAGCGGAGATAATGTCAGAAAGTCCTCCTCTTTTTTATTTTTATTTATATTTATATTTTGTTTTTGTGTTGTCTCTACGGATACGCTGCAGCAGCTAAAGAGAATATGGCGACCACACACAGTGCTCCTACTTTCATGAGTTCAAGAACGAGGTGCCCTCTCCGCGCAAGAAAACGATACCGGCCCGAGAGCGGAAAAGTTGAATGCTGCCCAAAACCGCTTTTGGCTCGCTACGTCTCGGAAGTAAACAGAATACAGAGCGTCTGTTTTCGGGAAGACCCCAGGGTATCATTTCCCTTTGGCCGACGTTTCGCGTCGGAGAATCTTTCTTATGAAGCACTGTACTGAATTAGGCCCTAGACGGACTAGCAGGACTTGCGATCCCGATCACAAAGAGCGTGTGCAAATGCCAGATCCGAAGTTCCTCTCCCCTGGAACAAGATAGTATTCCTTCATCTTGTCGGAAATTCAACAATACTAGGCTAAAAGACTTCTACCATTCCATTTGCTTCCGCATAAAATTAATCTTGACTGTTAATGCACACACAGGTACAGTTCTTCTCCTTTAAGCCCTCTTCAGGGAAAACCCTCATGTAAGCCACAAGCGTTCCCGCGACGGGATCGGGATTTGACATACTCACCTTCTTTTTTCTCCCTCGGTTCATCCGCCTTCCCCCTTTTTTAATTCCTTTGACTCAATTGACACTCGATGGCCCCAGGACTCTCTCTCCATTTCCCGCCGGCTTTTGTGCGGTGCAAGGAACGTGAGCATGCCTTTCGGCCTATTGGCCTCGCCCCTTGAAGATCCCGATTGCAAGCGTGCGGAGACGCATGCACGATCGTCGAAGAAAGTAACGGAGACAGCTCTTACAGTGTATTTATATCCACCAAGCCCGCAATCTAGTGCCGCACTCCCTCTCCCTCCTTTGACAGATTCTTTGTCTCCTGTTCATCCTCACCATCCAACAATGCAAATCACTTCACTGGCCTTCCTTGTCCTGGCCTCGCTATCCCTGGTCAGAGCAAGCGCCAAGGCACCTTCGGCGTTGGGAAAGACGGGCGGCGCAAGGCCGGTCTATGTTACCGAGGAAAAGTGCGTCACCCAACTGGGAACAAAAAAGGTTCGCGCCGTTCCCACGCAGACGCACGCAGCTACTTTCACCCTCCAATATCCCATCTTTGTAAAGTCAACGGCCACGAGCACAGTGACACCGGTGCCAGTCACTTCGACAGTCACGTCCACTTCCACCGCCACGTCCATCAGCACAGATTCGACAGTGACAGACACCTTGACCGTGACATCCACTCCTTCTGCTACAACCACGTCTACAGAGACAGACACGGAAACGGACACGGCAACGACGACTACCACGACATTTACCACCAGCCTGGGTGGCACCACAACTATTCCCGCGGGTGCTGGCTTCACACCCGTTTCCCAACAGATTTCAGGACTGGGAGACACGTACAGTCGGCGCAGCCATGCTGAAGAAGGACTGGAAGCCCACGCGGGAAGTCTGCTGGTGCGCACTGTGAGGCGGGCAGCCAGTACGCTGCACAAGATTGCCAAGGGTATGGCAAAGTATCCCAGTCGGTAGATTGCAAAGAGCTGGTGGAAAAGATATCGCCCAAGACGATTACCGTGCCAGCCAGAAAAACGGCCACAGTCACCCAGACACCTTCAACCTCGACCACGACGTCTACCGTCACCACTACTTCCGTTTCTACCGTAGCACCCCCCGAAGTGTTCACTACAGTTACATCGACGGCGGCCACGAGCACAAGCACGGAATATGCCACAACCACAACCACCACCACCACCACTACAACAGAGACACAAACGCAGACTCTTCAGATACCCACCTCAACCGCGTACGCTGCCTGTCAGGCAAACAATATCGTCTCACGCATCAACGGTGAAAGCATGAACGACTTTTCCTTCGCGGGGGACCTGGGCGATGTCTCTGCCACGTCAGCCCTCGACTGCTGCCAACAATGCCAAGCGTTGGCCTTGGCCGATCCAACAGCCTGCCGTGCCTTCTTCTACTACAACAATGATGGAGGTGTTCCATTCTGCTTTATATTTGTCGACACCTTAGACCAGCCCCAATATGTACTCTATCTCGCTGCAGATTCCGCCGTAGACTATATCGTTGGCAACGGTCCGGGCGGGCAAGTGGTCCAAATCAGCTGAGGGCAGACACCTCTGCCTTTGCTGTGTAAATGCAATTTGGATATTCCTCTCGGAGAGTTATTCAGAGCGCTTGCAAGGTCTGCAGCTCTCCTTTCACCTCTCTCCGTCATCTCTCTTCCTTTTCCAAGGTTTAAAGTTGCTGGAGTGACCACTATGAGGAGACTACAGAATGCTGTCGAAAGACGGGGATGACAGCAGGAAGAGCGCGCTGAACTGACAATCCTTTCAAGGGCGTGATGGTTCACGAGGAGATTTCTTCGATCAAATTTTGACTTGAGTGGCCTCGAGAGTCCGGAAGGTTACTAATTGGTGGAAGTGCACGCCTGCACTGGCCGATGAGAGCGTAGAATATACTCCTATGAGATCCACCTCCTTTTCAATTCCACTGCGTGCAAGACAGCATAAGTTGCAGATTCATTTTTGAGCGTCCTCCGACTTTCGTACAGTACCATTTATCCCGTGCGGGAGCCCATAGAAGTGTCTTGTGCGGGTCGATACTCGCGTGCCAGTCGCTGCTTGCATTTTTGGAATAGAAAAGGAAGTTGGCGTGCAGAGAGGCAATGGCGTTCCTTGTTGTTTCCCTCTCTCTGAGAGGACAGCTTGTCACTTGCATGTTCCTAGCCGTGTCAAAGAAAGCCAAGCATTCGCAGGTCGGAAACGCGCGTTTCCGCGCTTTCTCTTCCAGTTCCAAGTGTGCAAAACATCCGCGGAAAGATGCGTGTAAAACAAGAGATAATTTGGAAATCATACAGCCACAGCCTGGATCTGCAAGACTTTGCCGATTTTCTGTTATGATCTGGCCTAAATCCCTATCTATGTCTCTGGTCCTTGACAGGCGGGCAGCATGAAGAAAACAGCAGGTCTATTTTCGAGTCTGGAGGGATTCTCCGCGAGGCGGCCGGGCACGTCTCCATGCCCTTCCCAATGTTGATACTGGCGGGTGTGGTCGAATTGTTCTTGGCAGTATTGCGAGGACGAGAACGAAATGGGCCGAAGAGTGCCTATATATGAGCGACCTAGTTCCACACATCTCGATCACTTTCATCCCAAAATCTCTTCCACTTCTCTTCCTCTTTAAGCAGCTCGACCTGCGCAGCAACCTCTTCTCAGTTCTCAGCGCGACAGAGCCCAAGACTGGTCAGCTGTACGATGGGCTACTCTACTCGTAAACAGCAGAAGGTAGTCGACATTATCCACATCATCGAGATCGTCTTGATCCATGGGGTGCTCGGCATCTCCGTGTATCGGCGATTTAACAAGAACATCATTCGGAGTCGAGCGGATTTCCTGTCGTTGAGTGCGGTGGGTACTGTTGATCAAAGTGTCGAGACGAGTCGATACTAGACAGCGAAAGCTGACGTTTGTGTGGCTCTTTTGCAGGCCGCCAAATCTCTCATCTTCATCTTTTGGATCTTGGGTGGGTGAAAGAGAGTGAGAGGTGTAGCCTCTATATGGGAGCTGAGTCGATTCTCGAACAGCTACCGAGCACGTCAGCTTCATGAAGAAGCGCTACTCCAGAAAGGCCAACATGATTCTCATGATCATCGACTGTGTCTTTTGGGGAGCCGTCATTGGTATGACGGCCTATTTTCTTATTCAGAATGGTTGCGTGGGCATCGGCTGCAATTTAACCTACGCTATTCTTGCGTTGAGTTCGGTCCTCTTGTGAGTGGTCACGTAGACAGAAGGTCGATTTGGTGCTCATTGACTTGCTCTCTCACTCAATCTCTAGCGTACTCTCCATCCCCGTCGCTTTGCTCTCTACCAAGTTCTGGTTGGCTTCTCGAAGGACCGGCATGGACACCAAAGAGCAAGAAGATATCATCAGCAAGCCTGACCAGTACCTCTTAAGTCCCCAGGAGCTCCAAGCAGCCTCGAACCCTGTCGAGATATCGTATCTCTCACCTCGACCTGATGTTCGCCAGCATCCCGTTACAAATCAACGCTCATGGGCGTAGAGTAGACTAGACTCCTGCATGTTTTTCGGCAATGTTATCTTGTGCCTACGTTCTTCTTATAACATGAGCGACAGGACAAGTCCGCTCAGTGTTTGCGTCCACAAATACTCGCGTCCCAAAAAAAGAAAGCAAATCCCCGGAACTCGGATCTCACGTGCTTTTCCGACTTTTCGGATCACTGCGAGTCTGCGTTAAGGTACTCTCTCTCTTGAAGATGAGCGACAGGGCGTCACCAGCCTCAAAGAGGCGTCGGGGCGCGCACTCGTGCCAAGGCTGCCGACTGGCGCGGCAGCGTTGCGAGTTGCCGGCCCCAGGTCGCATCGACTGGAGCGGTGCATGCATGCCGGCCGAGCTGTCCTGCCATCGATGCCGAATCTTGGCCGCTGATTGCGTCTTTGTGCGGAGCGGCGCGAGCGCCCCCGACCGGCAGGAGCAAAAGGCGAGAAAGACGAGAAGGTCAAAAACAGCATGCGAGGAGAACGCTGCTCGCCAAAGTCAGACGCAAGAGACAGGTGACGAGAGAACTACCGAGACGGACACGTTCCATCAGGATGCGATCCTTCAGCCGCGCGAGATCTTAGATGGTGACGACAGGTCTTCGGAGCCTGTTCGAGACTCAACCGCATGGCTCGAGAGAACGCGCTCCTCGTTTCGCTCCTATTCATACCTCGCGCTCGTCATGCGACGACTCCATGTCCCGCGCGAAGAGAGAACGCACAGTTCCCTGTCCCTAGGCTCCATTCTTGCAGGCGCCAACATAGACTGGGCAACATGCGGAGAGGTGCTCAATGAGGTGAAGCTTTCTCGTCGCATTAGAGATGCAGGGAAGATGAGCGAATCCTGACAAAGTCATTCTCGCAGATGCGTGTCCTCGAACCATATCTTCCCTCGCTCTCCCAGCTCCGAGCGGGAACAGACGATGACCTCTTACTGGCCGTCGTTCTTCTGCTCACCTCGTCTCAAATCGCTGAGTGGAGGAGCCAGCTTAGCGACTTTGTGCAAAGAGAGGTGCAGCATCGTGTTCTGTACGGTCCTCGTGGGACGTACGACATTATGGCGCTACTGCTCGTCAGCCAGTGCCCAAACGACGTGTTCCCCGACGCCTTTCAAATCTCCGCTCTGGACGGATCGGGCATCCTAGCGGCCGGCGCGAGCGCTTGTCGAACACGGAGGATGGATGAAAGCTCGACGCCAAACGACAATGCGACGATGCTGTGGGCCTGCCTGTGCTTGCAGTCAAGTCTGAACTGCATAATGGAAGACGTCACGCGCAAGCCTGTGGCGAAATTGAAGAATATGGAGGCGCTGGGCTCGGAGAATGATCTATTCAAAACTCGCTTCCGCTACATTGAGGAAGTCAGAGTCCTCTGTCGGGCATTGGCCGACGAGCTGTGCGTGGAGAAGACCCTGGGCACACCACAGGACGCTTGCGACAAGGCGAAGACGTGCTTGCAAGCGGTCAATCAGGCCTCAAGCAAGCACCGAATGGCACTGCGCCATGGCCATCCAAGCCAAAGTGCCCTTTTGGCCTACCTGGACCTGGAGCAGGAGATTGTGCACTATGCAGCCATCTCCCAGATCATCAACATCCTCTTTCGGCCATTCGTATACCATGTCAAGGAGCCAGTCAGCTCCGTTGATTTCTTCCGATCGTTCCACGCTCAGGCTGATTACTTGGACGCCTTCGTCTCCGTCGGCACCGCTCGCATTGTCGCCGCCAAGCTCCTCATCTACAAGTATCTCGCTCTGGTGCGCAAATACGGTCGGAAGCATCCTCTGCGACCTGACGTGGAGCCAAATATGCGCCAGCAGACTGAACAGCTCGGCTTTCTGAGGCCACGGAACTACTTCCTCTACGCCGCTCTAGTCGCAGCGGCCAAAGCTGTAGCAGAGGAGTGTTCAGGCCGATGGTTCGCCGGGCATGTTCCCGACGCAGGCGAAGAGATGGCCCTCTGGCATGGAAACCTGCTACTGCTTGAGCGCCTGCAACGCGACATCATCGGGCTGCCCCGGGGAACTCAGCTGCTCGAGACCATTGTCAAGGCTCTCAGACAGACGGTCCTGACATTGGGGGCATGGATCGAGGCAGCTGAGCGCCAAGCACTTCGTGGCACTTTCCCGCGACTGATTGCAGACACGACGAGCGGTCCTGACGCTGAAGAATCGTCCTTTGACGACTTTCGATTTGCCGAATCATTCATCAACGACATCCTCGACGGCGACATTCTCGGCTCACCAAGCGACTTTCTTCATCCTCCCTTCTCGCTGCGCGAAGCCTCGCCATTGACGCAGAGCTTCCCGCTGTAAGCTCGACCGTGCGATCTCTGTGGCAGGGAGTAATAGCAGGATATGAGCGCTCGCTCTGCTTCTCACTGTCGTTGGCCACAGTAGAGTAGTATCACGATAGAATTGGCTATGTATCATAGGTACCTTGGTCTCGTTCCGAACACGCTTACTGCATGGACATCTTCTCCCAATCCTCACTGTGTATAAAACTACCTGGGCGAGCCGCTTGCGAGAGCAAAAGTCACGCGCTGGACACCGAGGTGCAGAGCGTAATGTCTACAACGGCCCTCAGCAGTGAGTATTATCGTATGGAAATTAAGCCAGCTAATAGTCAACAAAGCTTGGTCAAAGATGGAAGCGTGTATCTCCATCGCCCAGCGTACAACAAGTCTTTTCGTTGCGAATTCTCTCTCAGACTTGTGGACGAGCGATGCATTTACGCGCAAATAAGCGCGGAAAGGGCTTGGCGATGCATGCAAGCGCGGAAACGTGCGTGTCCGAGGGACGGTGTGGCAAGGCGATGCTAGCGCGGAACTGTGCGTGTTCGACGCGTGACAGGCGGACCCTCTCTGGGCAAGTCTTTCTCGCTGTGTGTGACAAAGACACAATATATTGCACCACTTGGAACAAGAACACGGCGGACAAGTGCTCCTCCCCCTGTGATACGACCCCGACTTGATCGCAACCAGAGGTGGAAATGGGACCAGCTGTCACGCTGCTCGTCGGCTTCGTCGCTTCGCTTTGCGTAGTTGCCTGGGTCCGCGGGACCACACGCAAGAAGTGGACGAGCTTGCCAGGACCACCGAAGGAATCTTGGTTGGTGCGTGTGTCACCCTGTCCTGGCCTCAGATTCTTCCACATCTGATCTGATCTCATTCGTCCAGTTGGGCAACAGGTTTGGGACAGCAGCTAAGAGCAGACGGAATACAGAGCCTGAGGGACACTTTAGGGAGTTCTGCGAGCAGTATGGCAACACGTTTGCATTCCACGGTAGGTGCTACCGGCTTTTCCCTTGTATTCAAGCCAAAAAGAGTTGATTTGAAGCACTCGCAAGACTTGCTTGGAGCTCAGAAGATATTCAGCCGAGATATCAAGGTTCTGCAGCAGGTCACGTCAGACATTCACACGTTCGTCTCTGATGAGATCACGGTGGAAATGATGAAGATGGTCGCTGGCGGAGGCCTCGTCGCTGCCTATGGAGACGACCACAGACGGATGAGACGCATCATCTCGCCCGCCTTTTCCCTTGGTCAGATCAAGCAAATCACCCCGATGATTCTTCAGCATGCTTCTGGGCTTCGTCGCCAAATCGAGACTGCCATCGAGCACCAGAACGTCCTCGACGTCACCCCCTTCCTGGACGCAGCGGCTCTAGATGTGATTGCAGAGGCTGGCTTCGGGCACAAGGTTCGCGTGAGTGCATTGGTGTCATGGGACTGCATCTTCGCTTCTCAACGTTCTTTTCATGCGCTGCAGGCGCTCGAACTGGGTCTCCAGTCATGTGAGCTTGCCAGCACATATTCCTCAACGGTCAGCAGCACCCTCGCGGGCGGCCTCAGCGTGCTCTTTGTTGCATCCCTTGCAAAGCTGCTGCGGTGGCCGACGTTGGTGCGTTTCCCTTTGACGCAGACGCATCGTGCACTCCGCCGCCAGAAAGCGATCATAGACCGAATTGCTGGCGAAATTCTCGAGAGCAAGAGGGAAGAGCTCAAAGATCTCAGCGACGAGGAGGTGTTGGACGTAGGAAAGACGATCTTGAGCAGCATGATGAAGAGCAACTTTCTCGGACGAAAAGAGACTAGACTAGCCGACGACGAGGTCGTCGGCCACATCCAGACTTGTGAGTGGAAAAAGAGGAAGTGGCAATCATGGGAAAAGAAAGAGTACTACGAAGCAATGAAGTCCTCTTTGCAGGATTTGAGACGACGTCAACGACCCTCGCGTGGACGCTCTGGCGATTGTCGCGCGATCAGGCTTTGCAAGAGCGGGTGCGGCGCCAGATAAAAGACTACCTGGTGCAGAGGGACGTCAGGACGGTGTCGGAGCTGCAGTACGAGGACATTTGGTCACCGGAGCTCGATCTCATCGGACGTGTTGTACTAGAGACCTTGCGTCTCCATCCGCCAGTCCCTACGATGGAACGCGTATCGACTCGAGACACGGTCCTGAAGTTGAGCGCGGATGCCGACCTGGTTGGTCCGACTTTGGCCATCGGAAAGGGCACCAAAGTCGTTTTAGGCTTGGCGGCACTCAGCTGTGACTCGGAGTACTTTGGCGCAAATCCACTCGACTTCAATCCTGACCGCTTCCTGCACCTGCCCGACAAGCACGGAGATGCGCGTTTTGGACCCCAGGGAACGTTCACTTTCTCGGGTGGACCAAAGGCCTGGTGAGTTTGCTAAAATTCTCTGCGGGACCATTCGTAGTGATGCGCAGATCTACATGCAGCATCGGGATGCAGGTTGCATTGACAGAGCTCCGCTCCTTTCTCGTCGAACTACTCGCCAACTTCCGTTTTGAGGTGGGTGGCATACGCTTTGTTTCGCAGCTTTCGGTGCTCACTGTCCAGTGCAGCCCGCCGACGGAGAGGGAACAGTGGATGTGATGCAGGCCCTAGTATACAGGCCAGTTGTGAGGTGCGCGGGCGAGAAACCGGAGATTGCTTTACCGTTGCACGTCGTTCGTCTGTAGATTCATCTTCTGAGAGAATGTCCATGTATTGCTTCTCGGCCTTGAATAAAGCCTGCAACGTCCACGCCAACCAGCTCTTGGTGCTTCTAGCAAGGTTTTCGTGCAGGGAAGCAAGTGAGTAGCGAACTGAAATGCTGGAATGTCTCTGCGACTGATGCGAGCAGAACATCAACTGCCTACATCCGCACTTCTCATGCGTCTGTCGCAATTGAAAGGAAGACGTCGCATGAGGACACTGCCAAGCTTCCTATTTAGGAAGCTTTCTGCTCCTAGTGGATAATGCGCGTTTCCGCGGTGTGCACGCAGCTTGGCCTGCCTGGAACCTGAACCTGTCGCATTCTGGCTTGCGCTCGTTGATGCACTATCCCGCGGAGAGGATTTACAGTTCTGTCGCGACGTTCCAATAGAACCGAGGGCACGCTCGCTCGCTTGAGCTTGCTCACTCAGCTTTGCAGCCTTAAAGAACAAATCGAGTGGCTCTTAGTTGATCTGCAGTGCACTTTTCGGTCGCTTCCCCATGAAGGTTTCCCACTTTTTCTCTCCCCTTCTCCTGGCAGCGGTTCTCCACGGTGGGGCGGCTCATGCAGCCACGAGCCAGAAGGTGGCGTGTGCGTGTCAAGGCCTGCCTTCAGTCGTCTACCCCAAGGACGACAGCTATCCGAATCTGACGACTGCTTATTGGGATGTCCGGGCGAACCTCTCTCCCTCCTGCATTTTTCTGCCCCAGTCGGCCGACGATGTGGCATCTGCGCTCAGGACATTGCACGAATGCGATTCTACATTTGCCATCCGAGGCGGAGGGCACATGAACGTGAGTTCAGCTGATCTTGCTGGCTCTGTCACTGCTCTGACATCCGCGCCCGTCACAGTTTCCAGGCTCCAATGGCATCGAAGAAGGCGTACTCGTTTCACTCGAACACATGAATGCGATATCGTACAACGAGCGAACCAAGACGGTCAACGTGGCACCGGGCGCACGGTGGGTCGACGTCTACACTTCGCTCGATCGTGTGGGGCGCTACACGATTGGAGGACGTCTCAAGACGATCGGCGTACCCGGACTGACGCTCATTGGGGGCTACCACTACTTTATAAACAAGTATGGCTTCACGATGGACAACGTCGTCAGCTACGAGGCTGTGCTCGGAAACGGCACCAAGGTTGTCGCCAGCCGCACGAGCCATCCGGATCTATTCTGGGGACTGAAGGGGAGCGCCAATAATCTCGCTCTTGTCACCAACTTTGAGTTCTCAACCTACCCCATCGCCCGTCTTTCGACTACCATTCAGACTTTTGCAGACGACGAGATCGAGAACTTTCTCGACGCAACCGTGGACTTTCTAAAGAAGAGCGACTCCAGCGTTGGCGCAGGCGGCATCTTTACAATCTCGCTCAACAGCTCGACTGGACTGTTCTCCGCCTCGCTCCTCGGCGCACAGGAGGGCACCAGCTCGCCCCCATCGAAGTTCGGCAGCTTCTCCCGGCTCAACGCGACGCTACGACGGAACGCGGTCCTGAGACCTGTTGAGTGGCACTCGCAGTTTGACACGCCGTTCCAAGCGCAGCGCATCCAATTTGTATCGCACACGATGAAGCCCAGCAAAACGCAGCTGCGTTACCTCTACAGAGAGTGGAGAAAGGCTATTCTCGACATCGGAGACGTTCAGGGTCTCTATGGCACTTTTGTCGTCAATCTGACGCCGAAGAGTGCGATTGCAGTCGGCAAGCGCAATGGGGTTGGCAACCTGTGGGAGGACGCTTTGGACGAGGAGGATCTGCTCATTTGGCAGTTTGCCACCTCATGGGCCGCGGCATCCGACGATCTCCGTATGTCGGCCTGGTCGGAGACGCTCGCTGCTCGGCTCCACGCGGAGAACAGAGCCAAGGACTTGGCACACCCACTGCTATACATGGGCGACGCCGGTGAATTCCAGAACCCGTTCCAGACTTTTTTCTCGGCCAATACCCTCCGGCGGCTTCGGAAAATTCGCAAAGAGTACGACCCGGTGTTGGTCTTCACCCGCAATGTCTGGGGAGGCTTCAAGATGGGTTTCTGAGCGCGTCTACTCTTTTGCTGTACGGTATCTTCTGCCTCTTAGAATCTCGCGTAAAGCAGCGATGCTTACGACATCCATCGGGTCATCAACTAATCCCTCAAAGCTTTCACGAGCTTTTGGGCTTTGCTCTCTTCTGTCCCGCCTCGAAGGTGACCTGTGCTATCTTCTTTCCTTTGAACATCGGCTGGAATGTCCATTATGAGAGAAAATACTGCTAGTAGACGGGGTCAAGCATATATCATCTGCATGCCTGCGATGGACGAAGCAAGGTATTGAGATGACAGTCTTCTGAGCACTGTCATCCGAGGTCTGCCCACTCTGCTTATCATGCGCAACACAGCATCAATCGCAGAAGCATCTCTGAGCGTCGTTCGAATGCCATAGGGCTTCGGTAGATTAACCGGAAATGTGGCTTCGCTTGCAAAAATCGGCTATTGCGGTTGGCTTCGACTTGGTTTATCCTACCCGATTAAATTTAATCGGGGCTGGTGTGATTAGCGTTCATGCGACTAGTCTGCAGGACACCTGGCCACGGCCTTGGCACCGACAGACCCCATGAAGAGCAGGAATGACTTCGCCGACTTGGTCAACCAAGCTCACCGACCACCTCCGTATGTCATTATCCCAAATAAAGAGCGCAACCGCCCAACAGGCCGAGGCGCTGAGTCTGCTCTGGGACTCTGTGGAATGGCCATTGACGCGAAATGAGGTGCTCCTCGTCGTCGACGCGTGGCACGTCGAATACATCGAGGCCGAGGACGGCGGTGGCATCGTCTCTTCGATCTCAACGACGGACGTCAACCTGTTTGTGGGCGTCAGTTTCGTCGCAACCCGTCCCGACCGCCAGCGGCAGGGACTGGCGACGAGGCTTTTGAAGCACGTCCAGGCCCGGTTTCGAGACAGCAAGCCCCTTGCTTTGATGGCTTCAGAGGCTGGGCTCGGCCTGTATCTTGAACTAGGCTTCAGGCGGGTGAGGACCGCGCACAAGTTCGAGCTCACGGACGTCACGGGCCATCGGCTCTCTACGATCGCGCAAGCTGACGATATCACGTACTCGCTGGCCCGAACCGACGTTGACTTTGCACAGATGGTCGAGCAGACCAGAATTGCATCTGGCGGTGCCGACCTCTCTCGCTTCTATACCACGTTTCTCAGACCGAGTGCCGGCCAGAAAGATCGGCTGCCGCACAGCTACCTGGCCAAGCGGGGCGATGAAGTTGTCGGCTTCGGCTCCTTCTATCGCCTCTTTGACAACCTCTGGCTTGGGCCGCTGATCTGTCAGAAAGCTGCGGTAGCACAGGGTATTGTCTCCCGCCTCATTGCGCTTCGCAACGAAGAGCAGCCCGAGGTGCAGGTCAACATACACTGCTTGGAGCCCGTCTCGTCTGAGTGGGCAGACTGGCTCGTCGAGCAAGGCTTTCGTCTCGCTAGCGACTGGCCCATCCTCCAGCACCCGGCCGCGAAGCCGATCTTTGACGGCTACGACATGGCGCGATACTATGCGATCCATGACCCAGTCAACATGTAGTTTACAGTAGACGCCGCCAATGATGGCTGGAAATACCATGCCGTATCTCCTCTATCCTAGCCTGACGTCAGCTTGCCGCATGCTCTTTTAGTCGTGGTGCCAGGCGACGGGCGCATTGCGTCAAAGATGGGGGGACAGCGTGCATGGAGGACGGCGATGAAGTCGGCGAAGCACGTGGTGCAATGGAGGAGTGTTGAGGTGTGCCAATGTTCAAGGCTCCCCGGCGAACCACACAACCAGCTCATCCAGTGCTTGTCCAGGAGAGAAGAGCCCTTGTCGGAGGGGAAGAAGATAGGCAATGATACCTCCACTTGTTTAGTGTGTCTCTGCACGAGCGAGAGGTGCTTCTAACTCCACCAGATTCAAGGAATGATATTCAACTATCTCCGAACTGCAGCATTTGAACTTTTGCAACGGCCGAAACAAAAAAAGAGCGATCGAAATATGGCACGCTTCTGGAATCGTTGGGCCCGTGCTTTGCTACAAAAGGAGTGACGCCGAGGAGGACAGGCCCTTCTTGCTTACTCTCACATAATCCAGCACGATGGGAAACGACCTCAGATCCGTCGTCGTCTTTGGCATTGGCGAGATCGGCAGGCCGCTCGTAGAAGAGTTCCTGTCTCATGGCTATTCAGTGCGAGCAGTGACACGCCAAGGCAGCCAAAATCCGTCGGTGCGCTCCGTCGAGGAAGCTGGAGCCACGATTGTGCAAGTCGACTACAGGGACGAGAAGTCGCTGGAATCGGCCATTCGCGGTACGGACATCGTCATTTCGACGTTGAGTGGCCCAGCTTTTGCTTACCAAGTCGCTCTGGCCAAGGTTGCCAAGCGGGAAAGCGTCAAGCTCTTTGTGCCCAGCATGTGGGGTTTCGACTACGAAAACCCACGATTCAAAGACCCAAAGCGGAACCCGCCAATGATCAAGGAGAAGTACGACCTTCTTGAAGAGCTGAACACTGTGGGTGCCAAGGTCTGTTGTAGGAACGAGCACCTTCTTACCATGTAAGACAGCTCGGCCTGCCTTGGTTTGCGTTTTCGAACGGGCTCTTTACGTCATGGATGCTTTCTTCGGTCCATGGAATCGATGCGAAAAGCTGCACAATTCGCTGGGCTGGGCGCGGTGATAAGCTAGTGACTTTCACACACCTGCGCGATGTTGCGGCCTTTGTACAGCTCGCCATATCCCGTATTCCGATCCCACAGCCAGGCACAGGTCGTTGGCTCTATGTCGAATCGTTCAGAGCCACATTCAACGACGTTTTCGCCGAGGCGCAGAGACTCGATGGGACGCGGCGACAGTGGACTATGACCCGCTCAAGCGCGGATGATGCGAGACAAACGCAGACCAGCGATTCGGAGCAAGGCGAAATCGCTTGGCACTTGGCATTGTTTGACGATGGTGATGGGCTGCGTGCAGAGAACGACAACAAACTTGTCGGCTTCGAGCCGAAGTACGACTTCGCAAACGCGGTTCAAGAAACTTTGCTTCAAGAGCGAAAGTAGCCGCGCCCTGATCTCGCAGTCCTCTTCTTCCATGCAAAGAGGGCTAAGCTTAGAGGGAGACCTGTGCGTGAACGAAAACGTCAAACGTACGAATAGAGCGGTGATCACCTTCAACAGTCAATAGTAGTAAATTGAGGACAGGGTCGAGTACAGTATGGTGGCTGCGTCAAGGTCAGATGCCAAGGACACGCGCGCTTGCCCTCACTGCTCTTCTAGCGACTCGATCTGCATCATTCTCTCATTTGCTTTTGCTGCAATGAATACTGCGGGTAGTTTACAGGGTACTGCTGGGAGCCGGGGGATAGCAGGCATACCGCGGGTCGCTGGCATTCCATCCAATGGCCTGGTGGTTCGTGAGGAGATTCTTTGGGTCAAACTTGGACTTGAGCGAGAGCAGCTTCTTGTAGTTGGTCTGGCCCCAGAACGAGTTGATGGGGTCGGGCTCAAAGGCATCGGCCTCGTTGAGGTAGGCGCCCGACGTGGGCGTGATCTTGCGGAGAAAGTCGGCGGCCGTGTGAGAGCGCTGAAAGGCGGCGGAGATCTCGGTGGCGCTTGCCTCGTTTGAAAAGGCCGAGTTGATAAAGACGTGCCAGAGGCTGTTGCGCCAGGCCGGCGTCACGGCGCTGGTGCCGTCATCCTTGTAGTTGTACGGCGTGGTGACGAGAAACTGCAGCGGGGCGCCGTACGTGTAGAGGAGCGGCTCAGCCAGCGGGAAGGGCTGTTCCACCGTGTTGACGACATTCATCAGAGCGTCGAGGAGCGTCTGCTGGTTCGCCGCTCCGACAAAGTTGGCCGTGGGTATCAATCGTGAGCCAATCGCCGTGCCCAGACCGACGAGCTCTTCGTTGGGGACGAGGTACTTGTTGTAGGCGGAGAAGAAGGTCCCGCCCTCGTCCACCTCGTTGTTGAGGATGACGTTGGCGCTAGTCAGCGCTGCAACGTAGTCGGTGACATTCTTCATGCTTGCCTTGGCCGCAGCGTTGTTGAGCTTGGGCGTGAAGAGGACCAGGCCACTGGCTTGCGTCGACATGGCGGCTGGCTCAATGTATCCACCCCAGCCGTCCTGTGCGATCGAGCGCGCGTTCTCGATGAGAACCTTGAGAAACCCACGTACGCTGTCCAGGTTCGCCGAGACAAACCGAATGTAGGCCACCTGGAGGTTGAGGCGCGGCTGGGCGCGCGTCGTCATGGACATGATGACACCAAACGTCCCGCCGCCACCGCCACGCATGGCATAGAACAGGTCCGCGTTCTGGCACCGGCTCGCCGTCAGGTATTGACCCTTGCCGGTGACGACCTGCATCTCCAGCACGTTGTCCACGCCAAGGCCCAGCGTGTTGGAGATGGACGAGTGGCCGGCGCCGGTGATCCACCCGCCGGCCGTGCCCACGGTGGGCGAGGAGCCGCCTACGATGGTTATGTTGTTGTCCTCGGCGAACTGGTAGAGACCGAGGAAGCCCTGTCCGGCACCAAAGGAGACGGCGGTCGTCGCCGTAGACGCCGCACAGCCTGCTGCAACAAATGCCTTTTTCAGTGTAATGGCCGGTTGCAGGTTGTGCGTCCACAGCTTGAGCGAGTTGGGCGCCGACGAGCGACCCTTGTAGTCGTGTCCGCTGTTCTTGACGACGAGGGGCACGCCCGTCGCAGTGCTAAAGGCCAGGGCAGCCTGGACGTCCTGGTAGCGTCTCACATCAATGTAGCGCGAGGGCACGCTGCCCTGGAAGCAGTTGGCGCCCGAGGCAGGGATCGCCGGCGCGGTATAGTCGAGGTTGCAGCCCTGTGCATTGGCCTGGCAGGTGCCCCAGTTGGTGTTGAGGTAGCCGCCGGGCTGCGTGACGAGGTAGGTGTCGGTCTTGTAGCCCTGGATCACTTGCGCGCACTGTGCTGCGTCAGGGGTATTGAGCGTGCCATTGTAGAGCGCATAGCAGGGCTTCGCAAGCGGCGTCTCGGTGTACAGTCGTCCTTGCACGGCGCTCGACAGCGCAGTCCAGGCCTGTGGGCTGACGTTGTCGATGGCCGCGCCCGAGACGAGGGCGCTGCTGGCCAGCAAGAGGACCACAGGCACGTACATGGTTGTCGCGGGACTCGAGCGCACCGGCCCTCGCTCGACCTCAACTTATATCTTTTCCCTCTCCACTCTCTGAGCGGGAATTGCAAAACAACTTCCGAGCGTGTCGGGCCTTTTTCGACTCCAGATTTTTTTAGACCCTGGCCAATCCATCTTTCACACGTCAACTCCCGCTACCCTCCTTTCCTGCTGCTGAAGATTATTTGCGGGGTCAGATCCCTCCGCGCAGCGCTGTGCCTGGCTCGCTGATGCAGTGGCTTGACCACTCTCCTACCAAACCCCTTTCCTAGCAAGCGACTGAAGTTCGCTGCGATGACGATTTACAACCTGGGAGCGAGTGGGACGATATAATCGCACCATTTCGCTCTCACTGGCAAGGAGCTTGCTCTCGGCAGTGGCCTTTGGCATTTGCGATAGACTCTACAGCCTCGCATGTGTCCTTTCCTGCAGCGCTGCGTTGAGTGACCTTGCAGGAAGTCAGCAGCGACCTCCTTCTTGCCCTGGACGGCGGCTGCGACGACCAATTGATGGACTTCTGGAGCGAAACATCATCGCACAAGCTGGGGTTAGGTTGGTACAGCGTGTCGGCAGTTGTTGACGGAACTTATGGTCAACCAGACGATTCAAGGCACAGGCAGGAACGGCAAAGGCAGGAGAGTGTATGGAAACCCGCGAATCGCGATCCGATGGATGGAATCTCCCGAGAGGAAAAAAAAAAAAATAAAAAAAAAAAATGGGAGACAACCTCCCAGCGAATTGACACGCGGAGTTCGATGCCCACGTGGACATCAGTCGACCAAGGCCCCATCTAGTCGATTGAGTGTATTTCGCCGAGCGGTAGATCAATCTCTAAGTGTTTCTCACGGAAACGATTCGTCATCGTCGGAGCGAACTTGGTCCACAGTCTACTTCAAGGTCAACCAAGAGTCGCTTCAAAGCATAAAAGCATTCAGATGAGAGACGACGCTTGGTCATTGATGAGAATAAAAATGAGAGGAAGGAACGAGAAGCACCGAGCAAAATGCCAGGCTCAGCTGCAGAGGAGGAAGGGGGCGGAGGAGGATCAGCCGAGCAAGGAAGCCGGCTGAGAGAGGAGCAGCATCGATGAAGTCGTGTGAGAAGAGGAAGCGACCGAAATTACGTGTTGCAGTCGGTGCACGCGTTTCCGTCGGCGACGCAGATGTTGCCTGCCGAACCCTGGAAGCGGCCGTTGACCGTGCCACCCTCCTTGTCAGGGTTTTGCGGGGCGCCGCAGCCATCGATTACCTTCTGGATTGACGAGTAGATGTAGTCGTCCGTCTGGTCAGATTCGGAAGCGTAGACGCAGCAGTCGTCGGTGCCGTCACCACCGTCAGTGCCAGCGCAGACGAGCACGTTGTTCTTTGAGCCGCCAATGCCGACATTGCAAGTGTTGCTTCGCTACGGTCCACAAAACACGGGTGAGCTACACCCCACTCGAAACTTTGAACTGTAGACTCACGCCGATGGGGAGACGCTGCTCGACAATCTGCTTGCACTTGGCAAGAGGTGCATCACCGGCCGTGCCGCATGTCAGCTTATCCTCAGGCGGGTCTTCACGAACATAGAGGCCAGAGCGGATGGCATCGTCGCGAGCAATGAGGATTCCGCCTCTGCCAGTGGAAGCAGCCTTGGCCACAGAGGCGACGAAGGGAAGTGCGAGCACGATCTGCTTGATCTGCATGATGTTGAGGCCGAAGATTGTTGATGAAACTGATGAGTGTACAAATTTGGCCTGCCTTTTATAGCCCACTGCGAGCCTTCATCTCTCTACTGCGATCCTTTTCCTTGCTCAACAGGGCGAGCAGATTGCTGTTTTGCAAGGATGACCCGCGCAGCTTGCCATTGGTGAGCACAGGAACGCGTCACTCCAAGCCAAAAATAAACGAAATCTGGGTGGCACGCCGTCGCAGGACGCCAAGTCCTTTCCAATGCGTCAGGTCGGAAGTAATTTACGGAGACTTCCGCTGATCGATTGATTGCGACAGGGAGCGCTGACTGCATACGCAGGCACGTTCTCTCTTCAAAGTATCGGTGTTTCTACATTCTCGCATAGTGCAGCGCAGGATCCAAGTACAACTTCGGTCCTCTCGCCGCTTGTTTGCCCAAACGATACATTATATGATGCTTGACACGAAGTTCTGATCGGGAGTCGCAGTATCGACGACTGCGCTTGAACGCTTGAACGATGTTTCTCGTAAGCTTCCTTTGACCGACGATGACGGAGAACGGGCAGGGCAGAGGGTATCACTGTAAGACTCCCCAGAGCAATGCGATGCCGACTTCCGAAGAATTAACGCATAGCTCTGGGAACTAACAAGTCCCGAAGAGCCTCTTCCACAATCGGCGTTTACTATGAATATTTCAGAACAAGGTACGCCGATGGCGACGGCTCTTGAGGACGGGATACGCGGACGACGGCAGCGTAGCGTCCTTCCAGGCACGGCAAGTGATCGATGGTTGTGTTAATGCATGCTTTGAGCAGTCAGCCTCGTCATGTTCAACTGGGAAACTCCCTGCTTTGTTGATCCTATTTTGGCCAGCAGAGGAAGCTCTAGAAGAGAGGCTGCACTAGCAAACAGCTAGTTGTATTATCCAAGTCGGTTGGGCATAGCAAAGAGCTACGCGGACTCCAGTGGATCGCGCAGGATGAAAGAAGTCCTCCAAGAACACTGTGGGAAAGTGGAGCTGCAAGACTTTCGTTTGGCAAGAGAGAGCATAATCTGTGGCATTTCAAATCCAGGAAAGGGACAATGGAATCTAGTCGGAGAAGCAGTCTCCGCAAGCGGCGCGGTCGCCGATGCACACCCTCTCGCCCTTGTCCTCATCGAGGGTGACGACACCATTGACCGAGTTTTTCTCTTCGCTTGCACAGCCCAGCAGGGCTTGTACTGCGCTCTTGACGTCCGCGCCGTCGTTCGGGTCATCACGGTTGTTCCAACGCATCTGATTCTGCGTCGTGTAAACACTGTGGATTGAGGGGTCAGGGAGGGGCTCTGTCGCAGCTATATCCGTTCCACTCACCAGCAATTTCCAAGGCAGGCGGGGTTGTATGCCGTCTGCGTGACGCTGTACGTGCAAGTAGCGTCAAAGTTTCCGAAAGCTGGCCACTGGTCTAGGAGAGCGCGGCAGTCGGAGAGGGTAGCATCGCCCGTTGTGCCACACTTGGGCAGCAGGTTCTGGCGCTTGACGTTCTCGACGGTGAGACGCTTCTCGCTCAGGGGAGAGCAAGAGACACTCTGCGAAGAGATGGCCAGGGCAATAACGAGAACGGTGGAAGCGAATCTGAACATGTGTGGCGGGGGCAAGAGCGGTGAAGATCGTGAGGTTTCGCTGGGGCGAGCACGGTGGAGCTTTTATAGCTCTTACCCACCGCTCCTGGCTTGCCTTGGCCCACGGCTTGACAACGAGAGAACATCAGTACAGAGCAAAAAAACCATCAGGGCCCTCCGATCGAGGCGAGTGTGCTGCACCCAGGAAAACGAGACAAAATGAGGAACGCGTCTTTCAGACTAATTTGGGTGTAAAAGGCACCGCATCTTCGACATTTCCGACTTCGAGAAATTCGATGGGCCCGGATCCAAGAGGGGCACAACAGCTGTCATCTGAAATTGCGATTTAAGGGCGCTTCATTGTAGGGCGTCTTTTCCGTTCCTAGAGCATCTAGGCTCCGAGATTATGATGACGACTTGCATGACATTGTCGTCTTGTTCGTGGCGACAACACCCAAAAGAGCGAGCCAGCATACTTGTTCCTGACGATGAGACAGCACCGCTCTCCCGAAGACGCCGATTGATGCTGAAGACGCCAATTAATGCCTGTGACTATTCTCCCACGGACGTTGATTCCTGCTGGTGACGATTCTCCCGCTGACGCCAATTCATGCTGATGACGAATCTCCCGAGGGCGCCAAGTCTTGCCTCCGACGATCGTGGACATCTTGCATCACTTGGTATTTGCGCAACTCTGTCCTCGTCATGCAAGAGCAAACGCGATCGTGCTGTTATCGATAGAGGTACGCCCGAAACGACACAGAGGTACGGCATGCGCATACGAAGAAGCTGGAGAAGAAGAACACAGAAGGGTATAAAAGCTGAACAGATTACCCGCGTATTCTTCTCGTCAACCCAAAGACAAGCCTCTCCAGTTCAAAGCCTGCCCTTCGCCTCAGCCGCCTCAAACCGCTCTTGGCAAGATGAAATTCTCCAGCCTCGCTCTCGCCGCCGCGGCCTTTGTGCCCCTCGTCTGCCAGTCCGTCTCTGCCGCGCCTGCGGCCGAAAAGGGCGTCGAGAAGCGCTTCGAAACGGGTTACGCTGATATCGTTGGTTCCGTTGCCGAACTGGCCAATGCTATCACCGAAGGCAAGGCGGCAGACGACGAACTTCGCGCGCGTTTCGCACAGAACATGATCGATGGCATGCGCCAAACGTGGGGCGACGAGCACAACTACGTCATCTGCCACACTGACCACGAATACCAGTGGAATGGCGCCGAGGGTGCGGACTGGGGACATGCCCACTACGAGCTCGACATCCAGATTGGCGGAACGGTGGGCTATGAAGTGTACGGCAGCAACGTGGGCGGCTACTTTAAGGGCAAGGGCGACGGCGGCTACCTTAACTGTGAGTCTCTTGTTTGTTCAAGGCCCGGCCTGAGCTGATCTTTTGTCATTTGCAGGGGAGTGGTACGGCTTCACCTCTTCCGTCGAGGAGGACGGCTCGAGGATCAACTTCATTGACCACTAGGCTATATCTCTCACATTCCTATTGACCGGCTTTTAGACTGCTCTCTTTGTGATGCACCTCTTGGCTTGTCTCGCCTCTGGACCGGTCTTGTTGCACTCCATGATCGATTTGAAAGCCAAATTTGTCTTTATGATCCCGATCTCAATTGGCGAGCCAATACTAACGGTTTTGACAAGCGCTGCAAAAGCACGGGCAGGCGACCTGAAGCAGGCGAGTACAGGAGAGCGGATTGGGCGCGAAGAAGAGGTAGACCCGGGCAAGTCGAGAGGTTCGCATGCTTTTGCAGCTCACGTGCCCGTAGTCCCCAAAAATAAAAAAGGGACGCCACCACTTCGCTGCTTGGAGATTCCCGGCGCTAAAGTGCTGTCGCGCAGGAGATTGCCGATCTTGCTTTGTGGAGCATGTTCGGCTTTTCCGCGCCCGTTCTTGTAAGACTCAGGGCACGAGACAAAGCAGAGGGACGGGCTTGAAGAAAAGCGGCCTGGGGACGCCCCTAATGATCCTCATCCCCATGTCCATTCAATGAGCAAGCAAGTGAAGTCTTCGCCTTCCATGGTCTCCCATTCATTGCCGTTCGCGCACTCTTCTGGTACGCTCTCGACTCTCCAAGCAAAAGCAGAGGAAGAGACACGCAAAAGACGGACAAGACCGATATCGGCCTGTGAGGACTGGTGAGTCTTAGCTTTGGTTTTGCTTGACGGCTTCTTGCTCACCACTCACGGTACAACGCCCGGAACTCAGCCGAGTGAGGAAGGTCAAATGCCATCTACTTCCCGGCCAGTCAGTCTGCCGGGGCTGCGCAAGGCGGCAGACAGACTGCCTCTTTCGCATAGACGACATGTCGCTTGCCCTTCGAAAGAAGTGCTTCCCATCTTACGAAGGAGCGCCACAGCCCGACAGTCAACAGTTCCATGAAGCACCTGTGGATCGACAGCTTGGCTCAAGGTCTTCATCTTCGAGAGACTGTCGACGAAAGCGCTTGCAGGAGGGAGATGGATCGACGGTGGGCGGCAACAGCCAAGACAAAAAGAAAATGAAGATCCGGTGTTTCGCCAACCCCACAAAATTGGCGGCCATTCAGCCAGAAGACTCGGCGCGAAGCACAGCTCTGTCTCGCACGTCAAGTATTTGCAGTGCAGCGTCGTCTAGCTCTCTTGCTTGTGGCCCGGCTGAAGCACGGTCGCCTCCTCTTCATCTTCTTTTGACTTCTTCGCCCTATCATTTCTCTTCAGCTTCCTCTGCAGCTTCTTCGTCTTCTCAGCTCTCTTCAGCTTCTCTCGGAGCTGATTATCCACTACAGCACCTTTCAACGATGCGGATAATTCCTTCGCGGGAGTACCTGGATGCTTTTGGCATCACTCCGACTTGTGAATCCCCACGCCGCTCATACGACGTTCCTCCGACATACGAGAAACTCCCTCGCCGCTTATCGGACGCACTTCAAGCAGGCAATGTTTCGCCCATGCTGGATCATGACACTGCATGGAACTTTGCGCTTTCCGGGACTGAAGAAGTTTTTGGACACCCCATCATCGGTGATTGGTGCCGGGAGGCTCCTGCGACAAGACACGAAGACAGATCGGACCGCGGGACGAGCGCGACGCCCTGCCTCACCACATCACCCGGCTCGACAGGCGCAAGCACAGAGCTCAGCGACCTGTGGATGGGCAGCTGCAGAAATCTCGAGGAGGATGTACTGAACGCTGCTGCAGTACCGCTCGGCTGCGAAGAGGCAGCAAGTCCGTCTACAGCAATCAATGGCTGGTTCAACACTGTAGGAAGGATGGACCAGCTGCCAACGGAACCCGTTCCAGCGTTTGCCATGGACCTGGAGATGCAGACCGGATGCACAGGTGTCGCCGTGCCGTCTGAGACAGGCCTGGCCTCACCACCTTTGGGCGCGCTCGCAGACGACACCCGCACCCTTTTCGGATCGAGTTTCTTCAGTCTCTAGACGTTTGGGAAAGAGCGGCTCATTCTTACGAGCATTCTGAGCGTGAGATACTTGTCATCGGTGACCGCCGCGGTCCAGAAGGTGCAGAAATACAAAAATTCAAGGGCGCTTCTAAAAATGTAACTGCTGAGCCGAAATGCAATATGGACCATCACTTCTCGCTCTTTCGCTTCTGCGACTGTCATATTTGGTTCTTTGAATTATACAAGGCAACAAGTCCTGACAGATGTGCGGCAGCATGTGAGATGAGCTCTGATCGCTATCACTCTAGGCGACAATTCCAATTCGATCAATGTCAGGAGCATTGCTGGGGCTTGAAATCTGGATCGAATTGGACGAGCCGACATTGAAGCCAGACAGTTGGACGCGGAAGTTGTGGCCGACGTCACCGTCCCAACTGTACCCAGTGATTGGGAAGTTGACATCTTGAGGATCGCCACCGTTTACGGCGATGCGTGCCTTTCGCTCGTTTAGACCGTTGCCCAGATAGCCAATTTCGCAATTGACATAGTCGAACAGAACGGTGACGCTCGACTGACTAGCCTCGACATTGTTGAAGATGAGGTTGTTGCCGTAACCGCTGATGTCGCCCACCTTTTCGCCACCAGAGCATCCACTGCAGGGCGCAACAGCGACGGTTCCCTCACGTGCTGCGTTCTCTGCCTCCAACCAGGTGACAGCAGGACTGGTAGGAGCAGCGCCGATAACGTTGCTGAGCCGCAGCGCAATAACCCCATGCGCATCGACATCTGCTCCATACGAGGCCGCGGCAGATCGAGTGGCACCCGAGTAGAGATCGACGACGTCGGCTTGCGTGACGTTGAGCGCAGCAAAGTCGATGTTGAGCGTCTGTCGGCCGCTTTGCGCATTGAAGGCCAGTACGGCGAGGTCCCCGTTGGCGAGCGGTCCGATGTGCAGATCTCGGTCATCGGTCCAACGCTGGACGAGCTTGACTGGCTTGCCCACGCTGTCTTGGTTTATTTCGATCAGACCTTCGTTCTGCAGAATCGCCCGCGTCTGCTCCGACGACCGAACTATGTCTGTCGACACCATCAGAGCCGACTTTGCCATTGCCCAGTAGGCGAAGTGGAACTGCTGCTCGGCCAGCGAGAGGCCGGCGTTGCCCACCTCGAGCAGATCAGCGTCGGCATGGAAACCAGGTCCCGTCTTGTCCTGCTCGGCAATGTAGATCGCTTGATTATAGATCCGATAGATGCTGTCCCACGAGTCGCTGATGTCATCCGACAGTCTAAACGAGGTTGCCAGGTCGCGAGTCCAGTCGATGGGACCCTTGAGGACACCGTCGTCGCTAAAAGGGACGCCCCACTGGCAGACCAACTCGCCTTCGATACCATTCTCGCGCAGCGCATCAGTCATCGGTCGGTACCTTGTGACGAAGTCGGTGCGAGCCGCCTTGGGTGCTGCACTGCTTGCGTCCGTGCTGTCGGCATAGCAGTTGTCGTACTTGACAGTCTTGACGTTCCAGTCAGCAAATTGCTTGGCATCAGCAGCCTCGTGACCCAAAGAGCCCAAAACGGGGCTGGGGACTGTCGGGTCGCAAGCCAACAACCCGGCATCGGAATATAGGCCAAAATTGAGCCCGCGCGAGGTAGCCAGGTCTGTCAGCGATTTAATGCCGTTGGGAAAAGCATCGTTGTTCACGTTGATGGCGCCCGTTGTGGCATCTCGAGACCGGTCCCTACGCTGCCAGCCGCAGTCGATTTGGAAGAGGCTGTAGCCCATGGCCGCAAAGCCTTGATCGGCGAATGCATTGATGGTGTCGGTCACGTAGCTGTCGTTGACCGTGCAGGAGGCTGCGTTGTAGGTGTTGAAACCGAGTGTTGGCGTCTGTTGGAAGGCGCACGTGGCTTTGTCAGCCAGAAGAGCGGCGAGGAGCACGGTGAAAGGGGCAGAGAGTGAGCGCATGTTGTTGAAGTCTTGCAAGGGGGTGGTTGGCTTGGCTACGCAGCACTGGAGTCTTAGAGGACCAGCCTCGGAACAGCAGACTGTCTTTTATGACGAGCCGTGCTTGTGTGGGTCTGATCTTAGCTCCACCGGTCGATAGCCGAGGAAGAAGGGTGCGACCTCTTGACAACACAGTCAGTGACACGATTCTGTCAGGTTGTCCCGTTACAGCTGCATGTGTCCTACCCCGCAATCTGTTGGACTTTCCCGGACTTGCGGAGCGTCGGGAAACAGCTTATTCACACACTTCGTGCGAAGATTCCCGACTTTTTTAGATTCCCGACTTCCTTAGCGGCAGCGCCTTTCTATATCCCGAACCAAAACACCGAGCAGACGCTGACGTAAGTACTCCTTTCCTCCATTCGAGCACTTGACCTACACAACCGAAAGGCCTAGGAGCCGTCGTTGCAAGCCTCTGTTGTAATGTGTTGCTGTGCGCTGTCTCTTCCAGCACATGTTTCTGCGCACATCAGGCTTTACGAGGACCTCAAATGGATCGACGGCACCGAATTCTGTGCTTTAACTTTCAAAGATTGATCAACATAAGCCCACGAAATCGACATCTAATTCAAAAAGTCATCCCTCTGTTCACGACAGTCCAGAAGAACTCGGTGCGGACCTTTCAATGGTTATCACGCCAGGACGCCGCATTTAGATCCAAATGTTTTCGTCAACATCAAGGGCCGTTTTGATAGATCATCGTACTGCTCGCTTCCTCTGACGTATTCGATTGACTTGTTTCTTTCACTTGAACCTGCTTTTACAGATTCCGCGCTAAACAACGAGCTGGCGTACCGCCTTCGCGTCGAGCATGCCGCTGTCCGGGTCGTTGCGTCGTTCTTCCTGCAGCAAAGAGACTTCCTGAGCCAGCTCTTGGCGCTGGTAGTCAGTTGCGCGAATTACCCTTTCCACCATCTCGGCCAGGAGCGTCTCGTCCGCGCCTAGACTCTGCAAGCTGTCAAAGTCCAGTTGAGACCATTCCGAAATGCTCTCATCGAGGACTCGTAAGACGGTTTTGAGATTGTTCGGGAGGTACCGTGCCATCTCGCTCCCGCCTGTGGCCAACGGAAACTTGGTGGCTTTGATGATGTAGGCTTGGGCAAAACGCCAGTGACGAGCTCGGAATTCGCGGATCTGGTCGACCAAGAGGATGTATAGCGCTTTGCTGAGCGGGCTAGTCTTCATTGCCAGGGATCGGATCCCAATCTCGGAGGCCCGAATTTCGAGGCTTGCGGTGTAGCTGCGATGAGCTGCGACATGAGGAGTCAGAATAGATCAAGCTCCTGTTCGCACAACTACCCACTGGCGGGACGGTATTCTCTGAACTCGCGCAGGATCTTTGTCAGATCATTATCAGGGCTGCAAATCAGACGCTGTCAGACTATACTCCGACAAGAGGAAAAAAGACACATACTGGTGCTTGGTGATCTCCAGGAAATTGTCCCCGAGAGGAACAAGCTGGTCGTTTGCACCGCTCTGCAAGACGGCGAGGTTAGCAGTAGATCTTTGAAACGTGTCTGCATTCTCTCACCTCGCCTCGAAAGTGCATTGGCTTGGTGTCTACGCCTTCGTACACTACGCCTTCCGGAAACATGGGATTGGTGTCTTTGGGACCAGTTCCGAAGATGAACGAACGGAGCTTCGCGCGATAATCACACAAGACTCGTTAGAAACAGACTTGCGTTTGCACTAGCAGGATCGACATACCTTCAGATAATCTTGGGGCTTACTGCGCTTCCACATGCTCTCCATGCTCACTTGAATCTTGCGGTATGTTTCCAGCATCCTTCGCATATGGCTCTCGAAGGCGGGCATGTCGTCTTGAGACGCAGCTAGCATGGCCGCTTCTGTCGCCGACACCAGCTGCCCGGAAAACGACACCATCTCGACGTGCACCAGGCTGACGTGGCGTTGTGTTGACCGTGAGACATTGTATACACAGAACGCTGCCCACTCTGATACCTACATGAAGCCTTTCTCACTGCCATCTGCGTCTTGGAATGCACGAATGAGCTCGAGATTTTCGAATGAGTATCTTCCTGCGAATCCCTTATAGTCGTCGTCCTTGACTCGATAGTTCATCAATGCGTAGCTCGAGGCGTATCTGTTGTACGTCAGGTGGTGGTTTTGGGCGAAGAAAGAAAGAACGGGCACTCACTCCATGAATGGGAAATGTCCAAGCTCGTCGGCCAGCAGCTTGAGAGGGACCGCTAACTGGGCAGGCAGCCTGTTACGCCCTGGCGCATACCTTCCTGTCTTGCGGTATGCAACATCAACCGGCTCCAAAAGATAAGCCGAAGTCGCAAAGCAGTAGTCCCGAAAAAGAGCGCTGATCAGTCTCGAGTCGCCTTTGGCGATTGCGGCGCGCACCGCCTGCACTTCGCGGCCTTCCGGTTGCAGCTCTTTGAGAACCGCCGATCCGAAGTCGCCCGTGCCGAGCAGCCCCATGGAACGGTCGCCATTGCGATCTTGCGGCTGTAGGACGGTCATGCGCTTCAAGAGGCTGTCCAATGTAGCGAAGTCCGCTGGCAGTTCGGCGAGCGGGTCCTGGCGCGGTAGAAAGCCGCGAGATTTGCTCACTAAGAACTGTGGGCATGTTGCATCATCCTTGTCAAAGTGCTCGGTGTCTTCCAGAGGGACAAAGAAGCTGTCGGCGATTGTCATCACGGTAAGCAATCAATCACGGTCCGAGAATGTTTCAGGTGAGAGCGTGTGCGGCTCAGGCCGGGGCTTTATAGACGATTGTCCCTGACGCCTAGCCAAGATCGGGCGTGGAAGACAGAGCTCTATTTTCGGACGACATCGGCTTCGACTTTGGCGCTTATCTCGTGGCCGACGTCGGCTTCGATTTTCTGGCCGACATTTCCTCTATCTTTAAGCCGACGTCGGCTCCGAAAAAGAAAGCGTTTTGAGCCCGATGATAGAATCGCAATCGTTTCCGCGCTACGCGCTTGTTCAGTTTGGTTTTCATTTGTGCATTGGTCCTCGCAACGCGCCAACAACATGATATCACAAGCGATGGCATCTTCGCACTAGCTTTTCTACCCTCTCAAATCAAAGAGACTCGAAGAAGTGCGCAGACACGCATCCAAAGATTTGCATTCGATCGACCATTCGCAAACATGCTAGAAGAGACAATCGCTATGACCCATCAACTGTTTACAAGACCATTTTCCTGGAAGAATGCCTGTGACCAGAAGAGCGTTAGAAACTCCGGTCGCGATAAGCGCTTGTGACACTCACGAAGATCTTTTCGTCGACGAATTGTGCGTCGTCGATACTGTCTCCAGGCCCGCCCGCCCAATGACCCCATTCGCTCTCAATGGGGCAGAATGCAGCTCGTTCGATTGCCTTGACCTCGAGAAGGCTGTCTTCGGGCGGGAAGTAGAGATCTTGAGAGCACGGCATGACGAGGACTGGACACTTGATTCCGGAGAGTGCGCGCTTGAACGCTGCTTCGTCCCGGTCATCAAGGCCTGACATGCCCTCGCCTCGGACACCCAGCCGTCCTCCTTCCGTGACTGGCACGTCTCGCTTGCTGTCTCCCGCATACAGAGGCTGAGCGCCGATGTCTCCGTGCTAGGAAAGGGCCTCTTCTCAGCGAGAAGATTCTTTTCATAGTACTAGTCACGACTCACTTGCCATGTCCACAGCATGTGCAGCATGTTGTTCGCATCCTTGCTTGTCGACCAGGCCTCCCAGAAGTGCACCATGACGTTCTCGAGCCCGTCAATTCCAAAGTGCTTTTTGAAGCCGTCGTTTCGATAGAAAGTCTGACTAAATCCCCATCCAGCGTATACACGCCCGAGAGCACGGAGGCCAGCCAAGGGCTGGCAGCCATGGACTTCCATATACCGACCGTCTGCGTATCCGACCGTGTCTGTCGTGACTGCACCTTTCACGGCCTCAAGGAAGACCCAATTGTGAGGTGATGTACGAGCGGAGCCACAGAAGGGGACCGCCAGTCGGACCATGTCTGGATACTGGCTCGCCCACTGGAAGGCCTGGGCGGCACCCATGCTCCACCCAAGCACGATGACCGTTTTCTTCTTGAACTTCTCTGTCAGCAGAAGATGCTGGGCGCGCACGTTGTCGTAGAATGTCGTCTTGGGCATGTCAGGACCCGCATTGGAGGGCGAGGTGGACTCGCCATTGCCAAACAGCGCAGGGACGACGATGAAGAACTGAGACGGTTTCAGCGCTTTCCGCGGGTGATCCTCTGTGTCAATTAGCCACTCGTTGCCCGCCGTGATCGTGCCACTGTACCACGTCGGATAGACTATGGCAGGCAGCGAAGGATCGCCATACGTGCGGTAAGCCAGGTGTGCATCGGCCAAGACCTCCCCAGACTGCAACGCAAAGTCGCCAAGTGGATAGAGCTCCACCTTAGGGTCGTTCTGAGAAGGCGCCATGGTTGATGAGTCTAAAGCCTTTTTCTTCTTTTTCTTCAGCGTGGGCTCACTAGCTTCGAGCGTGAGCGCATGCACGCTGCGCGACGCTTATCTTGCCCCGCACGAAAGATAACGTGTTACGTTTTTAGCCTATCGAAGGGTCAAAATTGCGCTTATCCGGGCCATCTGTTTCGCACGAACCCATGATCATCGGGTAATCAATCAATCGAGCATATAAAGAGGCCGGACAAGGGAAGCTGTGAGGATATCGCAACCCAACCATGCAAGCCCAGAAGGTACACGGAGGGGAGATCCCAACCTTGGTGTCCATCGATCCCCACTCGTCCGTCGTAGGTCAGAAAGATGTTCACAATCGATGGCATCCCGACATTCCCATGGTGCGTCTGCGCTCTGTCTCTCGCCAGTCTGCCTGCTGAACCAGAATGGCCACGACCAGATTGCGACAGTGCAACCCGGAGACATCTTCAAGGCGAGTGTGCTGCGATGTACGATCTCGCTTGGATCTTACCCTAGATGTTGATGCGACAGATGGAGACGCACGAATGGACGGGCGGACAGATCAAGAACACCGACGACGCAAACGATATCCACCAAGTCGACCTGACCAGGATCCATAATCTCAGCGGGCCCTTGCGAGTGGAAGGAGCCGAGCCCGGCGATGTCCTTGTCGTTGACATCCTCGACGTACAGCCCTTTGCCCATTGTACGTGGGGCTTTACCGGCATATTTGACAAGGCGAATGGCGGCGGACTGTTCGCGAAAGATCTCGACAGCAAGGCTTGCAAAGCTATCTGGGACTTTCAAGGCATCTATGCCACCTCGCGCCACATCCCTGGTGTTCGATTTGCTGGTATTCCGCATCCCGGCTTGATGGTGGGTTGGTTCATTCATTGCTCGAGCCAATCTGACCGCGAATTTCTGTACAGGGGACCATGCCGTCGCGGGAGCTCCTGCTGGAATGGAACCGTCGAGAGACAGGCCTCATCGATCTTCATCGCGACGAGGCAGGGTGCCAGTGCGTCCCTCCCGTCGCGCTGGCTCCGGAGCCCAAAGGTGCATACGTCGGACAGGACATCGACGACGAGCTGCGAGCGAAAATCTACAACGAGGGCGCGCGCACCATTCCACCACGGGAGAATGGCGGCAACATGGACATCAAGAATCTCAGCCGCGGCAGCCGCGCTTTCCTTCCTGTTTTCGTCAGTGGCGCTGGCCTGAGTTTGGGCGACCTGCACTTCAGTCAAGGCGATGGCGAGCTCAGCTTCTGTGGTGCGATCGAGATGGCCGGAATCACCACGCTGAAAGTCGACCTCATCAAGAACGGCGTCGAGAAGTTTGCAATGACCATGCCGATCTTTCTGCCCTCGCCGATCGACCCGATCTATGCTGAGAAGGTGTGTACTCCTAGTTCCTCGTCCAGAGATATGCTCACCCTCCCCCCAGCTCGTCTTTCAGGGCATTTCAGTCGACCTCCACAATGGCACCGGCAAACAAGAGAGTATGGATGCAACGCTCGCCTTCAAGGTAAATCGGCCTCGAGGCCCTTTAGGAGACATTTGCTGATTCAGTCGAGGAACAGGGCGCTGCCAGAAGTTGCATTGCCTTCTTGAGCAAGCTCGGCTACACGACCGAGCAAGCCATACTGCTCTTGTCCGCTGCGCCCGTCGACGCCCACGTCGCTGCCATTGTGGAGTGAGTCTCGCTCGTGCTTCATGTCTGGGTCATGCTGACATACAGCAGCACTCCGAACGCGTGCGTGACCATGTCTCTTCCGACGGCCATCTTCGAGCGTGATATTCGACCAACGGTGAGCAGCCGATGATGAGACCTCCCTCTACTACTGAAGCTGAGTGAATTCCCGAATATCTGTAGTCGGAGGGATACGAACAGACCAGTTACGGTCAATGCGCAACCGCCGAGGCCAGTCACACGCAGTGAGACACTTCTTTCCTAGCTGGCGGCATTCCAAGCTATACACCCTACCTTTGCGCGCTTGAGGTTCAATACTTAGCCATTGTGAAGCCATCTGTACCAGTCATGAAGTGGCTTAACGACGAGATGGGTCACAGGGCACTATGTCACGACAGAATCAAAGAAATGCGATTGCGCGAATTGCGTCATCTAAGATCGAACCTTCACTGTTTCAGCAAGTAGAAACCACCTTCAATAATGCTGAGGTGACTGATAAAGTCCAGCAGCGCATCTTCATTTCGTCGTTGCGCGGCGTCCTCTGCTCGTTCAGGGCGTGTCTCCTTGTGCAGCTTGATGGCATCCTCAATCACGTACTTCGCCTTGGGCACGAACGCAAGTTGCAGAAATTGTTCAAGGCGTTGTTGTGTCGTCGCGTTTGTCTCTTCTAGCTCCGCTTTCCGACCTGGATTTGAGGCCGGATCAGACCCTTTATATCCCCCTTCTCTTCGGTATGTCACTCACCTTCCTTTGCACGATTAGCAGCCCATGTGGCGGGATCGATGGAATGTTGCGTGGTGCATACGTCGTTATAGTCTTCGAACAGATCTTGTGCGGCATCTTCACCATCGGCTTCTTCTTTTGCGCTATGTCCTGCTTTTAACTTTTTCTCCAGCGCATCGACCAGAGATGAAGCCAGGTTGAGAGCGGCAATGGCAGGAATGCCGACTATCGTGTCTGATGGAAGTGTCAACCCAGCACGCGGGTGCAAGGGAGCGGTGAGGTAGGACATGTTGCTACTGAGGGCTATGTGAAGATGTGAAGCGTGCAGTGGTCCTGTGGGCTGGGGGAGTGCGACTAGAAAGCGTTTAGGAGTAGAAATACCCTTTGCTGAGCCAAGAGGTGTGTTGCGCTTGGAGAAAAGAGGGAGGAATCGGGTGATACTCTAATTTCTGTTGTTGCTTACTAATTTTGCGCCCCGCATTTAGCATGGGCCTCCGAGTCTGATTAACACTGCCAAAGTAGTCTTGGCGATAATCGCGTGATGGACGAAGGACTAGATGGAAGCGGCCCGCCCGCGAGCTGGCTGCCGATCATTGTTGCCGATGGCGATACGACGGCGCACAAAGCATCCGACCCGCTCGTCTTCTATCTTACTCGTCATCTGACCCCAGCACGGGACGCGGAGATCCTCGAGGGAATCGAGGAGTCGGTCGAGTACTACAGAAGTGGGTGTGGTTTCACCGCTGGGCTGTGCGTGAGCGCGAGAGCAAAAGGAGATGGGTAACCACTGCTCACTACAACAAGAGCACCAAGAGAGGACTCTGGCAGACGTCGAGCCGGAAGAAAAGCACGGTCCGAGATTCTGAGCATTTCGATACATCAGAGAAGAAAGAAGAAAGAAGAAAGAAGAAAGAAGCTATATCCACATCGAAAGATTGCACCTTCCCGGTTGGGTTGCATTCAGCACACACTCGTTACTAAAGGAAAGTATTGAAGAAGACAGCGCTTTGTCCAGCAAAGGACTCGTCTCACTTGCACGTGTTTGCCGACTCGTGGTTGCTCAGACACATCTTGTATGTTCCCCCACCTGGCGACTTAAATCCCTCTTCGGTGCCCTGGATCCACGTCTGCTCGTTTGGTCCATTGCAGAAGAGATTGGCGTTGCTGCCCCATCTGGCCAGGTCACCTGCGTTGAGGTCGTCGACTCCATCTCTGTGCTTGGCAATGACACAGCACGTGTTTTGACAGATGATCTTGTTCTTCTGTTTGTCGAGGATCGGAAGGTCTTTGTCGTCGTGGAAAAGTGGCATGATATTGGCGCAATCCCCAGCCCAACCCGCCTACGGTAGTGCAGAAGTCATCCATCAGCCTAGCCCTTTCAGTCACAGGACCACAGGACTACTTACATGGTTGTTGCTGCAGGTGATCTTTGGGTCGGGGACCGATATCATTGGAAATGACAACATTGCCATCTCAAGATCGCGACCGACCGGTGGAGCTGTGCTCTGTACTGGAGGAGCTGACGAAGGCGACGTCGAGGTGGGTGCCGAAGTAGGAGACGGAGTAGAAGACGGAGAAGAAGACGGAGTCGAAGACAAAGGCACAATGACGGCCACTCCGCACGGCCGCAAGTTGTATTTCATATTGACTTGCTTCATGATATCCTTGAGCGCATCTGTGGTCTTCCCACAGGCCGCTTGAGCGTCGTCGTCGGTTGCTGCCGCCAAGGGAATGAAAGCCTTGTTGACAAGCTCTTCAAAGGGCGCCTTGATCTTGTCCCTGGCTTCATGCGCTGTGGGCACAGCGAGAAGGGGAACCAAAGGTAGCAAACCAACTGTAGGGTCGACCAAGACGGGAATAGCGGCCGCAAGTGGTGGAGGGAGGCTCTTCAGAGCCTTGAGAGCTTCGATAGCAGGCCCAGCAAGCTTGTTTACCTCATCCGTATCGGGCTTTTCGTTCTCTTTCGTTGGATCCGCCACAGCTCCGTTGTCCTTGTCTCTCTTCTTTTGGCATTGGTCTGAATTCTGCTGTCTTGCCTCAAGCAGCCACATGAGTGAGCCAGCAAAGCTGCGCCTGACGCCAAGTCCACGCTTGGAGGTCTCGCTAGGGCAGCAGTAGAATTCCGGGTCGCAGCAGCTGTTCGGGTCAGCTGGATCGTAGTCGGGGTCTTGGTGCGCATCGTTGTACGTCTGCTGTCTCTTTGGGCTCCCAGGACTTTGAACATACGTAGATGACTGGTCTTCAAAGTAGGATTTGTTGTCACAGCAACCGTTGTCGTCAGACTTTGGCTTGAGATTTGCTTTCTGTGCAGGTGTAAATATTAAGTCAATGTTTACTATTACTGCAAGAAGCGACCCACATCGGCAACGTTTAGGTTGTCGCAGTACGTGTTGTATGAATCTTGGATTTGTGGAAGCTTTGCCTGGAGACCAGCAATAATTTGGTCGTGGTCAGCCTTGATCTGCTTTCTCCAGTCAATCGAGCCATCTTTTGGAAAGATGGGATCGCTTTCAAAATATTTCGCCAAAACGTCTTGAATACTGCCGGCAATCTCCGTATATGCTTTAATATCGTTTTGTCCATCAACGATTCTTGTGTCGGTCAGATAGCTACTCTGGATCATCAGCCAGTGTCAACAGATAGTTCCAAGCTTCATCACTCACGCGATCACTCCCGAGGTCGCTTTGTTGTAGTTGCGGCTGTTCACTCCGTCTACAGCCCAGTCCGCGATGGATTTTTCCCTGAGGACGTTGGCGACGGCCTGCGCCTTCGCTAGGTTGACAGTCGATGGAATACCGTGTAAGTTGGTAGGGGCGTTGAGTGCCGTTCTCAAGGCGACCGCCGGAATCTTAGAATCGTCTTCTGTATCTGCACGAATTCTGTCACACATTTTATCCCAGACCGCTTTTTTGTCGGGGAAAGTCTTGCTGTCACTTGCTGCGGCCGTGTCGGCCAGCTCGTCCATCCGTTTCTTGATCCATTGGATCTCACTGGTAAAGAAGTAAGAAAAAGCAGCTTTCAAGGTATTATCATAAACTTACACAAGATGATCGCATTGGCCAGTGTTTGCTATGGAGAGGATTCCACCATTATGTTTCCAAGGTCCCGCCATATCTTTGAGGCCTGCATAGAAAAAATGGGGTAAGCTGAGAAACACCAAATGAAGCTTTCTAACAACTCACTGCCATCAATATCATTGGGAGTCGTGAGCTTATAGTAGAGAGCAAAGCTTGGTTGGTTCCCCTGGTTAGCGGCTGCGCAGCTCTGTGCGTAAGTGGGCTGAGTAACAACCTTCGATCGTAATTGTATGGCCGGTGAGGTAGCACTTGTGCCGTAACCCTCGCAAATTTGACCGGACTTAGCCCTTTGGGCTGTTCTCTGTGCTTTGGTACAAGCCCCTGCTCTCCTATTGTTTGAGAGCTTGTTGTCAACATTGTCGTTGGTGGTGCCATCGTCATCTGGGTCGCCAATGTCTGCAGCGTCACCATCGTCGTAGCATTCATTGTCGTCCGGCGGTGTATCATCTGGCGGAGATGGCGAAGGTGAAGGAGAGGTGAAGGTGATGGGAGTCGAGAACCACGAAGGAGGTGGCGAGGACAGGGTTGACGGGTTTGAGTCTTTACCGTCTTGTTTGCAGGCTGGGCTGAACACGTCATGGCAGTCGCCGTCGTCGATAGCATACACGAAAGATAAAATAGATAGCTTGAAAAGCAAAAAAAGGAAGAGGCGAAGCTTGCAAAGCTTCATGATACGAGATATTGTGCCGACCTGCGGTGGGAGAGAAGGTTCGGGAAGATTGTGAAAACGAAAGGATCGCTAGCTAGACGCCTCGATGCTGGAAAAGATTGCGCTGGTAAAAAGAGACCGGCTCTGCAGCGCGCTGGAGCGTTGAGGAGAATATAGATGAGGATACCCAGGGGAATTTTCGACCTGGTCCCTCTCTCCTTTTCAGCTTTTGGAATGAGCGGTACAGAACGAGCTGTTTTGTGCAACATCGTCAATCTAGACGCCCATGACCATGCGGTCGCTGTTCACGATTTATAAGTCCGTTTTCAGTCATAGAGGGAGACTTAGTCACAAATCACAATTATTGTAAAGAAACAGTCGTATTCTGACGAAGGAGCAGTCTTGGTAAAGAATCACAAATAACGAACGCTGACCTTGCGGTGCAAGATCGCCTCCTCAAATGCCCTAATTGTGTCGAAGAGGGCGTCGCGAATCCAATTGCAATGCAGGATTCAAGCGTATCATCAGAGGCCTGCTGAGCGACGGGAAATCGACGCCCAAAAGTTCGAATTCAATTAAATTCAAAGTACTGTACAGTACGAATATGGTTTTAATTTATGTCTTTCTTAGTGCCAAAAGGCACTGGAGCACTCTAGGATGAATCGAAAAGCCGACCTCGTGGAGGTGAGGCAGTGTAGGAAGCTGTTTTGCACGAGGAGCTTTCGCTTTCCTGTTCATCTCGCAAACCACCATGGTGACTCTTACCGACTTACCCAACGAGCTGCTGTAGTGAGTACATCACAGGATCTCACAGCCATTTGATGCCTTCTGACGCCGATCTCGAACAAGCCTCATTCACTCTTACGTGGACTTGCTCTGGAGGAAGGGAAGCAAACAGGGATACATGCCTTCCTTTTTGGTCCCTGACTACACTCTGGCATGGGTCAATCGACGTCTGCGGCAGCTATTCTGGCCGACAGAGTTCACGATCGGCACAATTGTGCACCTCCGCCATGCACGATCTCTGTTTTGCACTTATCCCGACCTCGCAGCAAAGGTGGTCAGCATCAACTTTCGCTGGGGCGTCTCTAGGTACGATGAGTTCTGCCCCACCTTTCAGGACAAGCTCCAGCCGTGGCGGCCGTGGAATGCACTAGACTTGGCATTCAAAGACCGTACAAAGCTTGTCAAACAACCGGCGCTAAGTTCGTCACATCACCGCGATGGTCACTTCTGCAAGATCGGCACGGACGGAGACGACTCCATTGACCCAAGCTACTCCGACGAAGGAAAAAGACATTTTCCGGACGCAATAGATGGCTGCATGCTCTGTCAGGTGGCGAAGAAGCGAGGTATCAAAGACATATGGCTGAGCAATGGGGTTATTTACGGGTACCCCGATGATTACTACGATGCAGAGGCGCGAACTTACCCGACTGAGGATGCCATCTATCGACTAAGCGGTGATAAATTCGTCTGTGGTTATGGTCGTGTGAACCTCGGCAGAGGGCCTGATTGTAAGGGCCTTGACCCTGAGGTGACATCGCCTGCCGTCTTTTTCGAGTATCTCGAGGATCTGTTTGGAGCCTTGGTCAATCTCCGCAATTTTTTTTGGATGAGCAACGTGACGAGTAGGTTAAAGTGAGCCACGTTCATAGACCGCAATTTTCGCTGATAACCATGTCTCAGGCATACCAAAAGCAGTCGTCGACAAGTTGGGAGAGCTTGAGTCGCTCGACTTTTTCGGTCTCCTCCTTGAGCACGAAGAAGACCGGCTGGAAGGCAAGTCTAACATCTTTGTCACTCGTCATAGGCTCAAACCTTTCTTCTCCAGAATACTACGAAGTCCTCTTTAAGCGTGCAAAGGCCATCTTTGTACAGTTTAACGGTGGATACGAACAGGGGTATGTGATTGGGACGCCACCCGTGTATGACGGCAAATCTTACTCCGAGACAAATTGCAGCATATTATCGCTCAGCGATGCGGAACCGAGGACAAATATCGCCACTCTCTACAAGCTTCTTCTGGGCGCTCAACATGCACGCCATCTTTTCATTTCCGCCAGATCTACATTTGCGACACCCGAGCTCCTTCCTCTTTTTGCACGTCTCGACTCGCTCACAATTCTCCGAAAGAAAGCCCTTGATTCGAACGACAAGACCTCGCAATTTTATCGAGCATGTGCAAGTCTTCATCCTCGCTTGTGTTCAATCAAGTATCGGAATGTCGACGACGGCGACATCTGCAAGCTGGCACGTGAACGCGTCTTCGAGCCTTTCCGTGACATCCTCCTGCAACGTAACGATCTGAGGACCAAGATTGTGGAGAGCTTCAACTGTTCAAGCCGGACAACGGAAGAGCCGCCGGACCTTTTTATGCTCGATCCCCCCCACGATGCATTTTATGAATCAGTGCATCGTCAAGGTCGCAGACTTGGACCCGAAAGCAGATTTGAACCCGAAAGATACCTCGACGCTGAAAAGGAGTAGTTTGACACGGTAGCACATCATTGCGGCTTTGATCATGGGTAGTCTGTGTCACATCTGCCAGACATCGACACTTCTCAACAATGCCTACAATTTATGAGCTTTGAGATAAAGAATAAACTGTGTGGTGATACCGCGAAAGACTATGAAATAGCCAATCCCTCTCCTTATGATGCCGCATCGTTCTCTTCCCTCACAAAACCGTCTCGATGTAGGCGCGAGGCGAGCTTGCCCGCGTCCTCATCGGCAAGGTGGCAATGCCCCACATTTTTAACATACGCTCGCTGGAGTGAGTGTTATGGGACTTCATGTTCGAGGGCGACCTCGTGGAAGTCTGTCTGGGAACAATATGTATCGCTCTTCATGTTTAGGCATGATGTCATCATTTCGGGACCTATCCACCAAGCTGTTGTACTACTTCAGCGTTCTCGTACAGGTTTTCGCGCTCTATCATTGGCAGCCAGCGCCTCCGACAGCAGGCACTCCAATAAAAGTGGAGAATGTGCCCGTCGCGATTTTGTTGGCCCCTATGGTGCTGGCAAGACTGGAAAGGGGGCCGACGATATCGCATGTACTCTTCTCTTCCTTGATGACCTGAGGACATTCGACCTGACCGGAATTTGTTCATATCAGCTGCGCGTCTTCTTATTAGTACTGCTGCAGCTTTTCCTCACCATCATGGTGATTGTGTCAAGCGCTGTGCGTTCGAGAGTACCGTTAGTGGTGGCGAAACCCTGGACCGTGATGGCATTTGGAACCTGGTACGCCGTCACGTTTCTGCCATTTCCCTTCTTTCCCCCATGCTCACCATTGCCGTGGGGCATGGGAACGATGCTTGTTTTGCCGCCATCGACCTGCATGGGGGATTCGATGGCCTTCACGATTAGGTCTTTCATAAAGTTGGCATGCGTATGGGATGCTTGACCACCCGGCGGAGCCATGGACGTGTTGAAGTTGGCAAGAATGCCCATGGTGCAATTGCGGACTTGAGCCTGGCCCACATCCGTCGGATTCCAGCCGTTGCGACCGACTTTCGTGTCGTCGACGTAGTCGCAGGGCCATTCTGCTTTTGTCTTGCAACTTACGTCATTCGAATCCCTTGCGCAGCCGTAATCGATGACGTACTGGAGAAAGTTGCGTGGGTTGCACACGCCCACCGGCACCACCTTGTCACTGTAGGTGACGGTGTAGGAAACATTGGCGTGATCGGGGCGCGTGTCTCTCTCAACGATACCTGGCGTTATTTCTGCTCTGCGGCTCCGGGCCGCAGCGTCTGCGTCGTAAAATGAGCCAGGATAGCGGATCGTGAGTGCCATTGCCTGCAATGGCAAAACAGTTCCGCAAAGAAGCGAAGTGAGGGACGTGAGAAGCATGACAAGGGTACGATACGACCAGCGTACGTAGAATAGAGACGGATACGTTGTTTTTCTTGTAGAGCGAGGAGGGGGGATGAGGTGACTCTGACCTTCATTTTAAGCATCCTGCACAGCCCTCTCGATTCTTTGAACGAGGAAGGAGTCCATGCTGCTCTGATGCTGTGCAACGCAGCGCATCAGTGTGTCACATGACCGCGTGGTTGAGGATATCGCTGCCAAGTTGGCCACTTCCTTACCCTTGGCCGTGTAGGCACATCTGCTGTCTATCTTCTTTCGAAAATTCGAATGCACACACAGTCGACGCCCACAGCCTCCCGCGGCGTCGAAATTCGCTCTGCCCGCGTAATTGTCCTCGATCGATTAAAGAGAGAACTAGACTAATAGAGATGGCGAAGAAATTATAATTTTTGAAACGGTGCGTTTGAATTATAAGTAGTAGAATATACTGTATCTCGATATTCGAAGCAAAGTTCCATGCGGACATTTTGGTCCAACATCGTGACTCAGCCTTCACGGATGTGTCTATTGAGTGAAATGAGCACGGGGGTTGCACATGGATCAAAGACAATCGACAGACGCAGCAGAAGTATAGGTTGGCTTGGGGCGCGGCAGAAACAATTATAACGGCTGCTCGGCAGAGGTGACTTCAGCTCTTGACATACTCAAGATAACCCGAAGTTTGAAATGCACCGATGCACGCGACGATGGGATCATCGCCATAGCAGGCGACTGGCACCTACCATGCTGGTTCGCAATCGTAGCTATCCGGATAGAGGGCGGAAATGAGCCAACGAAACATATGGCTGATCTCAAGACGGTCCAGCGTCGCAACGTCATCTGGATCTGCGATCATGTCAAAGAAGTGTGCTTGATCGGGAACCAAGTGCAGGCGGCAATCGATGCCAGCCTCCGCTAGGACGTTGGCCATGTCTTTTGGGTTGGAAGGAAGAATCTTCATGTCGCCGTTGCTATGGAGCAAGAAAGTCGGCGGGAAAAAGCCCTGTTTGGGAGCACGGCATGCGTTCCACTTGTCAAGCATGTCTTGGGACTCGCTTCTTATACTCCACGAGCGCCACTGTGCATGCTGCGCCATGTAGAGCGCCGCTCTGTGTCGACCAAAGACAACGCCCGTCTTGTATTCGAAGTCGGGGGGTGCGCCCGCCACGAGGGGTCCATCAATGTACGCCTGCACTGAGGAACGTTCGATCGGTGGGAGGTCTGGCACGTCCAGCGGCGTTGCGTAGTGCTCGTCGGTGAGGTTCGTCATAGGATAGATGGCACCCAGACCCAGATTTTCGATGTATGCAGACCCACGATGTCTAGAAGCAGGCAGAGCCATCCTCCCGCAGAGCCTCCAAACGCCATGGCACGCCGCGAAATGTGATCTGCAGGGTGAGTGTGCCCTGTCGTACGCAGATAGGCCTCGAGGAGACTCTCCACCGAAAAGCGTCGAAAACGTCCTCGAACGAGTTGGCGATTGTGACCTGGGGAGCGAGGCACGTCGCTGCGCCTCAGCGGGCAGCCAGCGGGGCACGTCTGTGCACGTCTGTTCGATCCATGGCCGCCATTGCGCCGCCGTGGATGCAGAACATAACGCCCAGCTCCTTCCCCTTTGGCTCAGCGCTTCTCACGGGTACATAGACATCAAGATGAGCGTCGAGCCCTGGAACGTTTTGAAGGCCACCGACAACGACGCCTCGTGGTTGCCGTACATCGTTGCGAGAGTGAGATGAGTGAGATCTACCGCACGATGTCTACCCCCTTATCTCCGCCTGCTTGAGCTTATCTCCAGGATCTTCGCAAATAAATTCGCAAATAAATTCGAGAAAACGTGGCGCGCCTATCAGTAGCTTCTTCCCTCGCCTTCAGGCCGCTCCTGGCCTCAACGTTGGCAACAGAGAGCATCGACGAGGGCACACAGCTTTTCCTAGCTCAGTTGACATCGGGAAGGGCATGGTGTCTCGATATCAATGCGCCCAGCCTGACAGAGTTAAGTGTCTCGGAGGTGCTTTAGCATGTACATGTCATCAAGTGAACGAGCCTTAAGCGGTTCTTCTCGTTACATGTAGAATTGGCTCTGCGTCATATATGCTTTTCCTCGTCACATGCGAGTGAGGTCCCTCTTCACACAAACTCCAGGTTCTCGATGAAACGAACGACACGGTCGGCATCTGCTGTCCCTTCTTCTCAAAAGGTAGCCGACGTGAGAGCCTTTGCTTTCTTTACCGTGCTGTCTGCCTGTCGAAGCTAAAAGGGTCGACTGTGCGCCCAGTGACGATATGTTGATACTGGACCTCGATCTTGACAGATGTCTGCTTCAATCTCTTGAGAGCAAGCCTTTCTGCGGCTTCACCGAAAAGGAAAATTCTTTCTTCCACTACACCGCACAGCCAGCTTCCTTTCCCAGGCCTTCCCGCTCCCTCTCGCGGTCAAGACCAGGCACACGTCAATCAGAGCGACCAGATACGTTTAATACATGATGTGGATGATGCAGGCGCCTCTGTTCCTGCCTCTGTCACACTCCGCCTTGCTGCGTCCACATGGACCGTTCTTGCTCTTCTGTCCACTCCTCTCTAGCATCTCGTGCCTATGTTGCGAGTGCATCCGCCGGGCCGTGGTAGTCTCTCAAAGAGCGCAATGTCCCGTGGCGCATGCATGTGCATGCGCATCTGAATTGCAGGTTTTCAAGTGGCGCAATCTGGGTTCAAAAGGTGCGACGCGGTCAATGAGTGTCTGCTTACCTCGGCCGCTCGGCGCAAGTGGATTTTGATCAGTCTAGTTACTTATGTGATCGAGGAAGTTGTTATTCTCATCTAAGGGAGCAAAGCGAGTACAGTACAATTTAAAGGGGTCGCCTCACTTGACTGCTTGGATTTGGATAATAAATCCTGCAGGCCTCTGCATCGCGTTTGTGGCTGCATGGTTTGTTTCCTTTTTTTCCTTCGGCTGCGTTATTTTGCGCGTCCAGGCTCGAGGCCTCTGATGCAAGTGCCCACTGGCAGGCGTCCGAGCTGGAGGTAGTGGGGCAGCACCAGCAGCCTTTTTTCGCACAATGTCGAAAAAGAAAGAGTATCAGAATCGGAGAGGGAAAGAAACCGCGCCCTCGCAGAAACGAAAGTGCTTTGAAGCCGACTGCGTTGTTCGGGACGAATATCTTTCCGAAACTAACCCTTTCGGAAAAGCCACAGCCGTTCCTGCCCATCAGCAGCAGAAGTAGGCCTCTGATGGAGAAGAACGCCACAAGGGTGACGTACATCAGCGCTGCGGCGGTGCTTCAAAGAGCGAGGCCTGGTTTGCATCTGTGTGCATCGTGCTGGCCGCAAAAGAAAAAGCGACGTGGGTGCCAGACACTGTAGGTGCGGGTCAATGCGCATCTCGACGTGCTAGACGTAATTTAGCTGAAACTTCTGACGGATCTGCTCTCACATAAAGGGCGGCCCCCACACCCATCCTCGCCGCGCCAGTTGCGCCTACCACCCTTCTCACCCATCTCAGCCTCTCCGCAGTATGGTGCGCCCGTCTCTTTTTGCTTTGCTGGTCGTCCTCTCTCTCGCTCTTTCCACAGTAGCCCGCAATGCACCAAGAGCCCACAAAAAGGTCTCTTCGGCTGCAAGCAAGCCCAAGTACAACGCCAACCCTAACCCGACGGATACCTTCTGCAAGTCCTTCATCTCCCAGTGCTACAAGACATCCCTTTCCGGCAAAAAGGGCAAGGTTCATGTCGTCCATTCTTGCCACCGCAACGGAGGTAAATACTCGCCCTCCTACTCGTTCGGCTGCAAGGCCAACGGGGTGGACAAGACCAAGGCCGTCCTCAACAAGATCGGTGGAGGCTACACCGTCACCGTTACACAGGGATCCACCGTCGTCGTCACGGGCACAGTGACTGACTACTCGACCAGCACACAGTCGCTGACGTCGGAAGTCGATGTCACCACCACCCTCGACGTCACCTCCAGCGATACGGCGACCGTCACCAACACGGCCACAGAGACAGACACCGAGACGACCACCTTGACGACCGCGATTCCCATCACCTACACTTCGGAGACGACGGCGACTGTCACAACCACCTCGACGAGCACTGACACGGTGACGTCAACGACCACGCAGGTGCTCGTGGGCGTGGATCCCGTGCCCATCGTAGAGGTTGCCATCTCGCCGGCGGTGGCCAAGCGAATCAACAAGGTGGCCAAGTCGAGCTTTTGCAGCGCTTTCAGCACGGGATGCACCAGCCAATGCAAGCGAGTCTCTTCGACACCCAAGCACGTCGTGTGCCAAGCCAAGGACTCCCTGCACTACCAACTGACGTGCTACTGCAAGAACCGCAAGGTCGAGACCCAGCATGCGCTGGCTGCAGCGATGAACCAAGAGCATATTGCCACCGTGTCCACCGTGGCCACCAGCACGACGTATGCTACTGTCACGGCCACCACCGTCGTCCCCACCACTGTGCTGAGCACCTCCGTCCACACGCTTACCTCGACGATCCCCGTCACGAGCACCTACACCACCTCGACCACTGTGACGAGCACGGTGACCGACACGGCATCGACGGGCACCCCCATGACGGTGTCCACCACTGTGTCAACAGGGACGGCTACTGTTACTGCTTCTGCGACCACGACGAGTACGGCGACGAGCACGACACAGATCGTGTTGGCAGCCACGGGCGCAGTGCACGCATTCAGCGCCGCCGATGACTCCGACCAAGGCTACCTGGTGAGTATAAAGGCACCGTCGTCTGCGACGTTACTGACAGAAGTCTCTCTCGCAGTACCCTGGTAGCGACACTTTCTACTACACGACGACTGACAGGACGGCGGCAACCACCTTCATGGCGGTCCAGGACCCCGCCTCGGGCCTGTTCCAGCTGCAGACGACTGACGGCAGCGGCAACGTCCTCATCGCTGAGGCGGGCTTCTCGGCTGCTACCTTTGCGTCTGGCAGTGCCGCCTACACCTGGACGTACCCAGGTGCACCCTCTCTGTGCGGTGCTGCTGGCTCGCAAGGCGCACCCGCCGCCGGAGCAGGTTCCTACGACGGCAATACGTGCGAGACGTACGTCTTTGGCCCGCAAGCAGACGCAGAGACGCTCGCCCAGGGCGCCACAGTCGTCCTCCAGTCCGACTGGTACAACCCGTCGGCAACATCGCCCGGACAATACTACTGGGTTCTCGACAGCTCCGTCCAGGGGCTCTATGGCGTTGCCGATCCGTCCGCCTTCTACAACCAATACCACGAGTCCTATACCCAGGTCAACCTGCGCTTCCCCGCCTAGATGACAATCTCCGTCTCCCTTGTCTTCCGCTGAAGCCTTCTCTCGGCCCCTCTTCCTCTCTCTACTACACCAAACGAAAGCTAGTCAGCACATTTTTGATTTACAGCCTGTCTGCGTGCCATGATCATCAGCAGAGACACACGGTAATGTTCCTCTTTATACCACCAGACAATGTGAGTAAAGACTCAAATTCATCCTTCATCATGATGGCCTGTGCAGAAGCTTTGCTGTGTCGCAATTCGGTGACTGTAGTGTCTAGCAACCGTCCGAAGAAAGCCCAGACCGAAATTTACCGTCGGCCTCAAGTCTCGTTCAAGGGTCTTCTGTGGCTTTTGATGGATGCATGATGCAAATGGATAATTCGGTGCATATTGAGGACCTCACTATTCTTAAAAGCCGACAGGCTCTATCATTGTATATTCGGAAAGAAACAGATACTATAAACTACAAGCGAGAGAAAATTACAAGCGAAAGAAATACACTGCTACCGCGTCAAGGAAGGCCTAGACCAAAATTTTTCGTGAGCGGGAGTGAACGCGGGGACCAGAATTGACAGGCAGGGGTGCAGAGCGGAGTGGACACGGGATGTGGAATCGACCTGCTGCTGTGGGAGCGGATGATACATCAGGTGGAAGAGCACTCGATCAAGAAAGGGAGGAGAATGCGCGGAACGTGTTGAAGGGACCTTTACCTTAAGAAGGAAGACGAGGAACTCGAGCTCAATTCATTGGTCCCAAATATTCACCGATCAGCCACCTCCAACATGGTTTCTCTTCGTTTCTCTCTGGCCGCCGCTGTCGTACTGCTCGCCGCCGCTGTGGCGGATGCTGCCCCATCCGGCGACGCGCCTTTCGCATCGAGGAGTAGTCACTCCACTCAGGTGCAGCAGTGCAAGGGCTAGCTGCAAGAGGAAAAGGCATTCTGCGTCAAGTATCTCCAGGGCCGAAAACCGGCGAGGTCAACGACGACAAAGAGCAAGACCGCCACGGCAACATTGCCTGCGGCCACGTCCACCATCACCAGCACTATAGAGGTGACTTCGACCGAGACTGACACCGAGACAGACACGTCGTACGTCACCAAGACAGACTTGGAGACGGTGACCGAGACCGAGACCGAGACAGACACAGTGACATCTACAACAACACTGGCCGCCGCCCGGCGATCGTTGCCGACGCAGCAGGCGCTGGAGAAGCGATCCGCTTCAGCCGCACTGCAAAGGGCAAAGTCGTTCTCGTCACAGGTCATCACCGACGCGTGCCTTCTCATCGTATATGGGACGACACAGTACCCGACTGTGACGGTGACCTCAACCACGACCACCTCATCGCAGCTGCCAACCATGACTGCTACTGCAACGACTACCCATGTCAACTCGGCCACCGAGACGATGACGGTGTCGGAGACGGACACTGTCACTGTCACTGCCTCGACGACGACAACCACGACTACAACGACGACGACGACGGTCATTGCCACAGAGACACCGACAGCCGAAGGGTCCTGTGGCGCACCTTCGACGTGTAGCGGAGACATCTACTCGTGCGGAGCTACTTCGACCTGCGTCTGCGTCGAAAGCGCCAGTGGGCCCACGTCGTGCGTTGCAGGTAATTCTTGTGGCAGCACCAGCAACTGCACATATGATTCGGACTGCACAGCATCCCCCGGCGGCATTTGTGGACAACACACCTGCTGCTCCACTGCAATCTGCTTCTACCCAGACTCGAGCTGCCTGGCTGTCCAAGCGCGCGACGGCCTCATCGATCGAGATGGGAAAATTGCAAAAACTACCTTCAAGTCGTCTTTTGCGCCGAGGTAATTCAGTTCCCCAAGTGGGCACCTCTCTCCTTCCTTTCCAGTTAGTCTTGACGAGACATGTATGATGCTCTAACCCTAACCGTAACCCTCGTTGCCTAACCCCGGTTGCCTTTTCTGGGCCGTCCGTAGTAGCTTATTTACTCACTTGATGTCATTTTAAAGAAATCCAAAGAGCCCGGGCGCTTTGAAAGACTAATGCATTTACAATAAGAAGTTGCTTTTTTGCTGACGGTAGACAAACTGAAGGAAAGATTCGATAGCTTGCGAGAAAGATGGCCACATAGACAAAAGCACAAGGTATCTACAGGGCGTTGCACGTGTGCCTGTTCTTCTTTTCGACCACCTACTCACGGGGTGGTCGTGGTGTCGGAAGGACTTCGCCATGGATGCGGACCACCTTGGTGCTGTCAGGGTTCTCAAGTTTCATGCGGACGATGTGGGGCACAAAAGGTAGATCGACCGAGAGAGAGAACTCTTCTCCAGTGTTCATTGTAAAGTAGTAAAGCACGTTACTACCGTTCGTCCAGATGCTGATGGCCGCGTCGAAATAGGGCCACCAGGACGAATCAAAGTAGTAATTGTAAATGCCCGTCTTTTGCTCCACTTCTGGCGTCGTAGGCAAGTATTGCGACTTGCCCGCGTAAGGCCAGTCGACTGCAACGTCGAACGAACGGTCGTCGTCCGAGTCCCGGTTAGCCGTCATCTTTAAAGCTGTTTCGGGATTACCAAGCGGCTCGGAGACAGGCCAGCGTCCGACCTCGTAGATCATCCCTTGCACGTTCGTCTTTTGTTCCCATTGAATCTTGGACAAATCTTGCTGAGAGGCCATGCTTGTGTGTGTGTGTGTGTGTGTGTGTGTGTGTGTGGAATGAAAGAATGTTTTGATGACGAAAGCAGCAGCCTATATATATATATTTCTTTGCTACCAGGAAGGGACGGGACAACATCAATTTGCTTCCCGTCGGATCCTTGATGAAATGTAATTGATCATCTCTAAAGAGGGCGTCCCGTGCTTTGTCACACGCTAATGTGAGTAATCAATGGCTTGACAATGGACAATGAAGAAGACAACGTCTGTCAGTCAAAAGTCAACGAGCCGATCGGGCTCAGGCTTCACCGGCGCCACCCGCGCAAGCCACAAAATGTTCGCCGATTAATTTGTACAACACAGCTACATAGTAGTTGTGTATCGAACATGTTGTATGTAGTGAAGTCGATACAAGAGGCAAATCCCAGACATCGAACCACAGGGCAAATGCGTTGCATTACTGTGTCTAAACACCGAGCATTAATTGAAAAATAAGGTTTACGCGCGGGAACGGGTCTTAATACGCCACAAACCCCTAAAAACGTTATATTGGCAACCCAGGCTAAAAATTGTCATGTCGAACGACCGCTCTGATCCTTAAGATACTTTTTCGTATTTTATAACACAAAAATTGACGTTGCTCATTCTCTAGTCGTTGAACGTTCTAGAAATTTAAAATATGTCTATTCGCTGTTTGTTCCCACTCCCTTGCGAGTGCGTGGGGCGACCGGTTCGGGAAAGAAGAGATATCTTATCATGGGGTAGGAGGAGTTTTCGACTTTTGCCACAGGCCGCGGCTCGAAGCTGAGTTTGAATTTTCCTTTGTCTAGCTCATGTCTCCTGACCTCGGCTGAAACCCTTCCCCTGGCCCCACCTCAATCTCACGTATTTTGGTGGACGTGGACAGATGTTACCAGAACGGAGGGCATGATACTATGGCCGTTGGTTCGACTGCTAAAGAGGCACCTGGGCTCGGGAGTCTAGATTGCTGGAAGAGGCCAAAATTCTTACGGCTGTCTGTTACAGTACATGCTCTTAACATTTTTTAGCTGGGATCGGAGACTGCTGTGCTAGCCCGATAATATTAGCTTCGCAACCTGATCCCGTGTCGGACCCAACTTTTCTATGCAACTTTTGGATGATGGCCCCACATACCGGGGGTCGAAGAATATCTGAGGGTCAGCTTTAGGCGGAGAGCCTTTCCATCGGGCTCTGCTCCGACAGAGCGACCACAGCTTAGGCCGGAATCGAAAAAAGCCACAAATCGGGGATTGAAAGAAGACGACTGTGCTGGAATTTTGACTTAGGTCCAATCATTACCTGTTTGCTCTGGTAAAGCGACGTGGAGTCAGCTTAATCTGACTCAACTTAACACACCCCTTCGCTCGCATACTGCAAGTTCCTCACTTGTCGCGCCATGGAAATCCAGCCAGCGTCGAACGACGGCTTTGATCCACCGCAAGACTCCAGTCCTCATCCAAGCGCCCAGTCTCTGCTTTTGATCGTGACCGCTGTGGGAAGCTTCATCGGTAATCAGACGACAGAGACAATGGTGGGGCACCTATGCGTGGTCAGCTTCTTAGGGTTACAACGTGTTTCCACCTGACCCTAACGTTGGCCCGGTCAGGGCCAAGGACGATATGGCCAGGGCGACGCTTCCTAAGGGTAAACGGGGCCCGCGGGCGCATTTCTGGCAAGTTTGAGACAGATTCGCTTAGTAGGATTCTGCGTGAGAGGACTTCTCAGGTTTATTTTCCTTATTTCTCGCTGGATACTGCGTCCCTGTGTGGCCCTGTCTCACTGCAGCTGTGTGACGGTCCAACGATGCTGTGTGTGAAGTCTGAGCGAGCTGGGGTTGCTGGTTGCGGAGATGTGACGGAATGAGTGTGATGTGACTGATCTGCTCTGTCATGCGTGTGCTTTCTGGCCACGTGGGTGCTGTGTCCGTCCTCTGCCGTGTATAGTGAGGGTTAGGGTTAGGGTTAGGGTTAGGGTTAGGGTTAGGGTTAGGGTTAGGG